CATTAGACACTATGAGACACTATTATACACTATTAGACACATTAGACACTATTAGACACTATTAGACACATTGAACACTATTAGACACATTAGACACATTAGACACATTGGACACTATTAGACACATTAGACACATTAGACACATCAGACACATTGGACACTATTAGACACTATTAGACACTTAGACACTATTAGACACATTAGACACTATGAGACACTATTAGACACTTAGACACTATTAGACACTATTAGACACATTGGACACTATTAGACACTATTAGACACTATTAGACACTATTAGACACATTGGGCACTATTAGACACTATTAGACACTATTAGACACATTGGACTCTATTAGACACTATTAGACACATTAGACACTATTAGACACTATTAGACACATTAGACACTATTAGACACTATTAGACACATTAGACACTATTAGACACTATTAGACACATTGGACACTATTAGACACTATTAGACACTAATAGACACATTAGACACTATGAGACACTATTAGACACTATTCGACACTATTAGACACTATTTGACACATTAGACACATTAGACACTATTAGACACATTGGACTCTATTAGACACTATTAGACACTGTTAGACACTATTAGACACTATTAGACACATTGAACACTATTAGACACATTGGACACATTAGACACATTGGACACTATTAGACACTTAGACACTATTAGACACATTAGACACTATGAGACACTATTATACACTATTAGACACATTAGACACTATTAGACACATCAGACACTATTAGACACATTAGACACTATTAGACACATTGGACACTATTAGACACTTTTAGACAGTGTTAGACACTATTAGACACTATTAGACACATTGGACACTATTAGACACATTAGACACTATTAGACACTATTAAACACATTGGACACTATTAGACACATTAGACACTATTAGACACATTAGACACTATTAGACACTATTAGACACATTAGACACTATTAGACACTATTAGACACATTAGACACTATTAGACACTATGAGACACATTGGACACTATTAGACACTATTAGACACATTGGACACTATTAGACACCATTAGACACCATTAGACACTATTAGACACATTAGAAACTATTAGACACTATTAGACACTATTAGGCACATTAGACACATTATACACTATTAAACACTATTAGACACATTAGACACATTAGACACTATTATACACTATTAGACACATTAGACACTATGATACACTATTAGACACTATTAGACACTATTAGACACTATGAGACACTATTAGACTCTATTAGACACATTGGACACTATTAGACACATTAGACACTATTAGACACTATTAGACACTATTAGACACATTGGGCACTATTAGACACTATTAGACACTATTAGACACATTGGACACTATTAGACACTATTAGACACTATTAGGCACATTAGACACATTAGACACTATTAGACACTATTAGACACATTAGACACTATTAGACACATTGGACACTATTAGACACATTAGACACTATTAGACACATTGGACACTATTAGACACATTAGACACTGTTAGACACTATTAAACACTATTAGACACTATTAGACACATTGGACACTATTAGACACTATTAGACACTATTAGACACTTAGACACTATTAGAAACATTAGACACTATGAGACACTATTAGACACTATTTGACACATTAGACACCTATAGACACATTAGACACTATTAGACACATTGGACTCTATTAGACACTATTAGACACTGTTAGACACTATTAGACACTATTAGACACATTGAACACTATTAGATACATTAGACACATTAGACACATTGGACACTATTAGACACATTAGACACATTAGACACATCAGACACATTGGACACTATTAGACACTATTAGACACTTAGACACTATTAGACACATTAGACACTATGAGACACTATTATACACTATTAGACACATTAGACACTATTAGACACTATTAGACACATTGAACACTATTAGACACATTAGACACATTAGACACATTGGACACTATTAGACACATTAGACACATTAGACACATCAGACACATTGGACACTATTAGACACTATTAGACACTTAGACACTATTAGACACATTAGACACTATGAGACACTATTAGACACTTAGACACTATTAGACACTATTAAACACATCAGACACTATTAGACACATTAGACACTATTAGACACATTGCACACTATTAGACACTATTAGACACTATTAGACACATTGGGCACTATTAGACACTATTAGACACTATTAGACACATTGGACACTATTAGACACTATTAGACACTTTTAGGCACATTAGACACATTAGACACTATTAGACACATTAGACACATTAGACACTATTAGACACTGTTAGACACTTTAGACACTATGAGACACATTAGACACTATTAGACACATTGGACACTATTATACACTATTAGACACTATTAGACACTTAGACACTATTAGAAACATTAGACACTATGAGACACTATTAGACACTATTTGACACATTAGACACCTATAGACACATTAGACACTATTAGACACATTGGACTCTATTAGACACTATTAGACACTGTTAGACACTATTAGGCACTATTAGACACATTGAACACTATTAGACACATTAGACACATTAGACACTATTAGACACATTGGACACTATTAGACACATTAGACACATTAGACACATCAGACACATTGGACACTATTAGACACTATTAGACACTTAGACACTATTAGACACATTAGACACTATGAGACACTATTATACACTATTAGACACATTAGACACTATTAAACACATTAGACACTATTAGACACATTAGACACTATTAGACACATTGGACACTATTAGACACTTTTAGACACTGTTAGACACTATTAGACACTATTAGACACATTGGACACTATTAGACACATTAGACACTATTAGACACTATTAGACACATTGGACACTATTAGACACATTAGACACTATTAGACACTATTAGACACATTGTACACTATTAGACACTATTAGAAACTATTAGACACATTAGACACTATTAGACACTATTAGACACATTAGACACTATTAGACACTATTATACACTATTAGACACTATTAGACAAATTAGACGCTATTAGACACTATTAGACACTATTATACACTATTATACACTATTAGACACTATTACACACTATTAGACAAATTAGACACTATTAGACACTATTAGACACATTAGACACTATTTGACACATTAGACACTATTAGATACTATTAGACACTATTATACACTATTAGACACTATTACACACTATTAGACAAATTAGACACTATTAGACACTATTAGACACATTAGACACTATTTGACACATTAGACACTATTAGATACTATTAGACACTATTAGACACATTAGACACTATTAGACACTTAGACACATTAGACACTATTAGACACATTAGACACTATTAGACACTTAGACACTATTAGACACATTAGACACTATGAGACACCATTAGACACTATTAGACACATTAGACACTATTAGACACTATTAGACACATTAGACACTATTAGACACATTAGACACTATTAGACACATTGGACTCTATTAGACACTATTAGACACTGTTAGACACTATTAGACACTATTATACACATTGAACACTATTAGACACATTAGACACTATTAGACACATTGGACACTATTAGACACTATTAGACACATAGACACGATTAGACACATTAGACACTATGAGACACTATTATACACTATTAGTCACATTAGACACTATTAGACACATCAGACACTATTAGACACATTGGACACTATTAGACACATTAGATACTATTAGACACATTGGACACTATTGGACACATTAGACACTATTAGACACTATTAGACACATTGTACACTATTAGACACTATTAGACACTATTAGACACTATTAGACACATTAGACACTATTAGACACATTAGACACTATCAGACACTATTAGACACTATTAGACACATTAGCCACTATTAGACACTATTAGACACTATCAGACACTATTAGACACTATTAGACACATTGGACACTATTAGACACATTAGATACTATTAGACACATTGGACACTATTGGACACATTAGACACTATTAGACACTATTAGACACATTGTACACTATTAGACACTATTAGACACATTAGACACTATTAGACACATTAGACACTATCAGACACTATTAGACACATTAGACACTATTAGACACTATTCACCTGACGCCACTCTTCCGACGACACTCGCCATGCACCGCATGCCCCGCAGTGATGGACCGACACGTGGCGAGTGTCAAGGCCACCACAAGCAGCTTCCCACGTCTCACGTCACATTCGTCTTTCCCGCCGCCCGCAAACACTCGAGCCAGGTGTGCATGCCAAGTGGTCACGGCGTTTTGAGAAAATTCCAAAATTCGGCCAATCGGGCGGGGATGGGTGCCGTGGAGAACACGGAATGGGGGCACGCGACCTTTGACGGCGATGGATCGATGCGTGAGAGTGTTCTGATTTCCCAGTGATGCCCAATCAGAACAGTTGGACACAGGTCGAGAGCTGGGACAATTGAAGCATTTGGCGGGACCCCGGGGTCCCGCAAAAATCAGGTCAATAATAATTATTATTTTTCAGTCCGCCCCACTCGTGATGCCGACATCAACGCGCCGCCCGCCCGTAGACTCGCGCCAACAGCAGCAGCAGCAGGCGGCGATCACCACGATGGGCGCCACCCCACCGGCCAAACGCAAGCCCCGGGGGGCGTCCGCCCGCAGTCGCCCTCCGGTCAGCCGTCGACCCTCAGCTTCTTTGCCAAGGCGAGCCCCACCGCCACCCCCCCAGGCAGTGAATTTAACGTGCTTGTGTAATTTTTCAACTTTTTACGAAACTTAGTGTCCCCGAGTAGCTCTCGACGAGGCCAATCGATTGACCACTAGAGTTTTGTTGTTGTCGGTAAGGCGACAAGACTCGTGTCGCTACGCGGGTTTGTCCTACCCCGGGGCAGCGATGGAACCCCGGGGTCCCGCCAATTGCTTCAATTAGCCGACGCAGTCCATTCATTGACTGAACGGTATTATCCATTATTTGTTATGGTTGGTGACGCGGCCACGTGGCGGCGCGTCCTTCAGCCGCTCAACCGCTCCCTAGCGCGCCGTCAGCCAGCGGCGTGCTAGAGAGTGGGGTGAGCGCCACGTGGCTAGGGGCAGCGAAGCCGCTTAGGCGGCGTGCGTCCGTAGTGCGAGTGAGAAGAGACGAGAGACAACCAACTGTTCCGACGATTTATTCATAAACGATTCAAGTTCATACCGCGTCGGAGCCACTCGTTACATACGCAATGAGATTTAGAATAGAGATGCACGCCAGACATAGATGACATTGATTTGCCCTTTTCTTTTGACTTATAATGTGCGACTCAAATTTGAGCCGATGGTTGACGCATTCCCAAATGTTTCACGAATCGCCTCCAGCCACTCGGGGCCCTGACCATTGGCTTGGTGGGCTTTATGCTTTATAGTTGTTGCCACCACCGACCGCAGATAGGGCATAAGGTAAAGCACAGGAATTTTTCCCAAAAGATTTCAGTGAAGTCAGCTGGCCCAGGGTGTCATCTGCTAAACGCTTACAGTTAAAACTGTCTTTAAAAAATATATTTTCCCCAAATTCTCCATCATGACCCTTTATTCATGGAATTAGCACCTCACTATCCGTTATATATAAAAGACGATTTCCTCCATTGACTTCTATGCCTTCAGGATCATGTTGCGAAATGGCAGCTTCAATCTCTTCTTGCGATGCAAAGAGATCTACCACCAATTCGCTGTCGACTTGTACGCCACAATTCATTCGATTAAACCCACCAGATGACAATACATACAACATTTTCTATCCTCTCCAAGAGTTACAAATTTAAAAGCTGTCCTCATATAAAACAAATACGCCCTGTGACTGTATCACACAACCAAAAAACATAGTAAAATACACACATTGACCGATTTCATTTGCAGCATTCAATTATTCCAAGAAAGATAGCATGCTCTTAACATTTGATTACCGAGACCCGTACGAAGCCGGATCATTTAACTAGTTATATATAAAACGTACAATATATACAAACGCTTAAAAACCATATACCACCACCATTAAACATTGTCATCACAATATTTTTTCACTTGATAACTTTCTTATCGGTTATTAAAAAATATTATCTAATTACACATTTTAAAAAAAACACACACATTGTATTTCTTATAAACCATTGGGAGGGTACATTTTAACAATCAAATGCTTGCGACAATCAGCACCAACCTATACTGTGAAAGGCACCATTGTCAGAGCCGATGCTATGAAGAGAACAACAGCTAAGTGTAAAGTTATTCCCGTACTGCGACGACAAACACCTTTTTTTATATAAATTATGAATACTGCCACTTGTGAATATAACACCCTTTATCCAGGAAAACCCCACTAGTGTTTGGTAATCCCATTGATGAGTGCTATGATTTTCAGGATAAGTTGGACACTAAAGCCTTTCACTGAACCAATGAGAGATGCCTTGAACAGAATAATGGATTGCCCCCCCCCCCATTGCCATATCAATGGGGGGGGGGGGGCGAATATTTCATAGCGAATATGATTATGGCTTTTCTCTTATGTTAAACATAATGTTGATGTGCCCTGACATGTCTACCTGGACTTATTGCATTTGGAAGCACACGTTATTGCACAGCACCAGGCACTGAACCCAGCCATTATTGCCTTCCAGGATTTGTGAGACGTGTACATATTTAAATATTTGATGGATCGCAGTTATGCGCCAGATGTTGCGCCATGGCGCTTGGTTGTACAGCAGAAGCAGGGGGAGTAGCTGACTCTGATGCGGCTGCCATAGTTCATGAGCTCCCATGCCCTGACGCAGCGAGATTTAGTAGATCTGGTGTATTGGCCAAGAATCCTGAAGAGGCCCTGCTGGAATAGAGGACTATGGACTGCAGTACTTTCACCAGGAAGCAGCAGTAAAGATTTTGAGCCGGCAGCGTGAGTGTATTTTGTTTTTGTTCCAACCAATTGTGGCGAATTCATAGTGGTCTCAAGATTTGCCCTTGGATCGAGGAGTAGGCACGTGATAGGAAACTATTCCTGACCTATGATGACGCTTGAGGTGTACGTGGGCCAGATGGAATGAATACCTCCAGTCCACCTGGCCATTTACATATATTCAACCATTGGTTAGCTTCAGCAGTTCTCTCGGATTCCATATGGATGTAGTCATTGGTACCTTCAACTTTACGTGCAAGGTAAGTATTACCCTTTAAAAGATTACTGATTGCTTCAGTTTCTGCACAATTGCCAAACTCCCAGTATACTTTTTGTATATTTTCTACCATTGTCTCCGGACAAGGCATGAATGTGCAACTCGTGAAGAGTGTCACGCATCTAGAACACGGTGGGCACTCGTCAAGTTTCAGATTCAAGTCGTTGTGCTTGTAGGCCTTGGAGGTCACCGTTGGAGGGAATTTTAAAATGCCACTTGCATCTGGGTTGTTTCGTGCGAATGTGACAGCTTGTGCTACGAGTGGATGCCAGTTAAACAGGCAGTTGAGGGCCAACATTATTTTTGACGCTTCTTTTCCTGAAGAGCTCAAGGAGGCTCCCCAGAAAGGCATCGGTGGGGCATTTATAATGTCGTCGCCTTGCTCTTCATCACAGAAACAACTTTGTGATACTACAGTGGCAAAAAAAGGCAGTTTTGGCTTCGTTGGGGAATAAGGCTTCAGAATTCTTTCAGCAAGGCCCTCCAGAGTCGTCTTGATGGCATTGCTGTTTCCAGGACCTTCAGCACGCACGACCTGTGTTCAAAACATATTATGAGAGGGATGGGAGAGTTGATAACGTTACCACAAGTTTAGTTTCAGAACAATGTACAACAAATAACCAGTTAATGTTAGCTCAGATTCTGAATATGTGTGAATGCTTCAATAGCCAAACTGTTTCGTGGTATCTTCTGAAACCCATTAACCTCGTGCTGCCAACAGCTCTGCAGAACCTTTAGCTTTACAAGATAATTATATACACACTCACCATCTCTAGCAGAATCGAGTATGGTGTTGTCCTTGGCACGTGGGTTTTGAATGCATCCGGGGTTGCTGACGAGCGTCTGAATGTCTCAAGTACAGGCATGTCTGCAGGGTTTACGGTGGGTTTGTGGATTTGTCCAAGGAATAAAATGGAATGCCGAACCTGTAAAACATACATTCGGTTTCGCATTTTGTACGTTTAAGTGTTGTCCCACATTTGGCACGGTAGTATTAGCTTAATATGTTAGGAATAATTGCTAAATGGATACTTAAGAAACCCATGTATAGATGCAAAGGCAATAAACCAGTTTTGGGTCCTTTTAAACGTAATTTGGAATATACATTGCATACGAAGTTTCAAACTATACCATATGAAATTATTGTTAAATGTACACGTTTTTAACACTTTCAACATAACAATAACCAACAGGGGCATTCTCAAAAGCCCATTCTCGTATGCGCTATGTAATTTTGGACTGGTTAATATCTTTGGTTAGTTGGCCATTGTTTTCTTTGTTGATATTGTTGCCCTACCATTTTGACCTTATTTCAATGAAATATGCATTTCACATCCATAAGCAAAAAGCTAACTTATTAAACTTTATTCGAAGCTTTCGTGACTGCAGGAATTACTCTTTGGTTCTTTCGGTAAAGTCACGTATGTCTCGTGTGTGTCTCTCTGCATGTGTGTCTGCCTATGCTGTTCCCGTGTCTGTGTTTTATCATTCATTATTACCTGATGATGGTTGCTTGTGTTGCAGCCGAAACGTCGTATTCTATTATTATTTTATTTTCTACGTGACTTCACTGAAAGAACCAAAGAGTATCATTACACTTGTTTACCCAGGAAACCTCACCGAGCCCCATGACTCTTTTTTTCAGGATGATTCCTGTCAAGTTTTCTAATTGGGAGTAAATGATTGATGTCTATATTCTAATTGAGTAATGTTTCAAGTTTGGAAAATTTGGACCACAACACGGACACACAGTTGCCTAATGTTGCGAATGACATCACAGGACCTTTCACGTCCTCTGCGAAGCAGATGGCGCGTATTTTTATTTTTGCAGGCAGTATTAATCAGGGCGGCCGCTGGACTTGAACCGTGAACCTCTGCAACGAGCAGCAAACCCGCAACCACGAGGATAAGTCTCCACCCTAATCAAACTTGTAAAGGATTGGATCACCCAAATAATACGTTGACTACACTTCCAGGTCTTCTGTGGCTTTACAACACAGAGGACTATACATAAGGTAGGCTGATATTGCTTTAGCAAAGCATTCTAAATGCATCTTAACCCTTTCCCATTCCGATGACGTACGCGTACGTACATCATCTGTATGTCATTTATGCGGCACAGAATTGGAATAAAAACCTCAAACAAAATGTATCAGTACCGAGGCTCCTACAATGCCATGCGGGAGGGCGTTTGGCACAGTTTGGCGCCAGGGATCATAGAGTGTGGTCGTGTCGCTACAGTTCTCTGTGGTGAGTACTGCGTCTTTAAAAACAACGGTGGCTACGCCTCTAAAAAATTTTTAACGCTCATCTGCTTACCGAGATTCAGCGGTGAACGAGACAACCCAACCAGCGACTTGCAGTCGCCTTGCAACGGGGAAAGGGTTAATGAGGAAGTAGCAACGTATCTGTTCATGCTTACCTCATCGAGGTACTTGTGGACATCACTGCGCTCGAGTTTTTTTTGGAGAATTGATGCCCTTCCGTAGTCTGACATTTCTTTAAAGAGGGCAGTGTATGTCCGACGGAAATACTCCTTAAAATCTCCGATGTAATTGAAACCGCTTCTTTTCTTCGTCGTTTTGTTCCCTCCTCTGCAAATTATGAAATATGCACACCGCATTTTTTTTTTAAAGATACCAATCCAAAACATTTATTTAGATTTTTAATGTTGAAATATTGCATTATATCTCCATGCACATTTCATACCATTGAACATTTACGAAGACAACATAATTCTCCACGTCAATGACTTTGCGTACAAGGCTCCATCCACACTCTCAGGTTTCCTTCGCAATTGTGCGACTGTATATCATATGAACCCCTAACCTGTGACCCATATGTGATGTAGCACATGTTTTCACCTGTGGGCTACCACATTTGTCATCATCAGAAGCAGCCATGGTCAATCTACTGCTGGATGAAGCCTCCCTAGGCCACTGATATATCTCGAGATCCTGCGATGTAATTATCCATCCAGCACATGCACATGGGCCAATTTCATTATTCCATCTCCTCAAAGGCTGCTTACCCACTCGGGATGTGTTCCATCGCATCAACATGTCTTTATAAACTAACGTTTTTGAAGTACACGCAAGTACAATGCAGTAGCTCATTGCTTATGTGTGGTACCAAATACTGTTTGTGCCTTAAGATGTTTCATTTGCCGTCACGCATGCTTCCTTGCTGAATTTAAAAAGTTTCAACGCACTCTCAGATGCGTTTTCGGGTTGTACCGTGTGTTGTTCAGCATCATGTCTGACGATTTGCTCCTTGTGCTGACAGCTGCTGCGGTGGCTAGGAGATGTTAACTACCTCGCCTGGTATACAGGAGGTCGTGGGTTCGATCCCAACCCTGACGCCTGCTGCTTTATATTTGGAGTTTGCATGTCCTCCCCATGATCGCGTGGATTTTTCTCCGGGTCCTCTGGTTTTTCCCTCCGCATTTAGAATCAACATGCGTTTAAAGAGTGTTTGTCTGCTTATAAATGTGAGCTATCATTTGTGGCAACGTCGCTTCTGAAAGAAAACGATATAGCTCCGTGCGCCTTACCTGGTAAAATAATAAAAAAAAAATCCCCGTTTGAGTTAATTTTTTTATTTAAAGCTTTCGTGACTGCAGGGATTCATATTCTTGGTTCTTTCGGTAAAGTCACGTAGAAGGGAAACAATAAAATAATAAAAAAACATAAAACAATAAAATTCTCACGACGTTTCGACTGCAACACAAGCAATCATCATCAGGTGTGAAAACCACAGCAAGAAAAAAAAACGCCACTTTTTTTCAAATTTTCTAGTTGTGGTTTTCACACCTGATGATGATTGCTTGTGTTGCAGTCTAAACGTCGTGAGAATTTTATTGTTTTATATTTGTATTATTTTATTGTTTCCCTTCTACGTGACTTTACCGAAAGAACCAAGAATACGTTTGAGTTTAGTTTAGTCTCCTCGAAATAACGTGGACAGAGGTATTTGGCTGCTATATGTTTCCACGCGGTAAGCCAAATCGTTGGGCTCATCACTTGTGGCAAGATCGCTTCTGAAAAGGAGCGATATTGTTCAGTGGGCCTTGCCTGGTAAAATAAAAAAAAATTAAGTTCAGCTTCTTCAGGAAATGAGTGGAGAAGCTTTCTGTTCTCCAGTGCACTTGGCAGTATGAGGGAACGTTGGCCAAGTTGCTTAAATACTTTTTTTTTCTCAAAATGACAGCATAAACATGCCTACACAACAAGGTAAGTGAATCTAAAATCTCCTTCTACCCCAACCCATGTAGACTCCCACGGCAGCACGTTTGGAAGTGTTGGAGGATACTTTTCGATTTAAAGGTTTCGTGACTGCAAGGATCCATCTTCTTTGGTTCTTTCGGTAAAGTCACGTAGAATGAGAATAAAATAATAAAATAAAACAATAAAATTCTCACCACATTTCGGCCACAACACAAGTGGCCTTCTTCAGGTGAAAGGGACAGACCTGTTGTGACGACAGAGCTTCAATAAACGCTGTTAGGATTCGTAGCGCCCTTTTAAGCTGCTTGAGCGAAAGTCAGGCACCCAAGCAGTATAATTTAGCATTGAAAAAGGTTGAGGAATTAGCTTGTGACTGGTCACAGAAATGGCTATGTAAATTCAAAGCTTACACAACCACAGAGGCACCTAGTACAAATCAAACAGGAGAATTTAGCATTGAAATAGCTAAGGGGATTAGCTTGTGACTGGTCACAGAAATAGCTATATTAAAGTTTAAGCCTACACATCCACAGAGGAACCTAGTACTGGTCACAGAAGTAGCTTTGGTAAAGTCAAGGCTTGCACATCCACAGAGGTACCTCGTACATGGACGCCAATGGGTGCTGCAACAAATCAACTATCATACAGTAAACTGATGTGAAAAAACCTAAGTCTAACTTACATCAATATAATAAATGTGCTCAATATATTCTTCAATAAGCTGAGCTATTAACAGCAACTGGGTATACACTACACTATATAATGAATACCACATGGTAAACCAATGAAAACGGAAATATAAACTACCTCAATGTTATCAATGAACTCTATATATTCTCCAAACAGCTGAGCTACCAACAATAAGTCGTAATATATCACAATGCTGTATGGCGAAAAATGGGTGGATTCTTATCCTCAACTTCAGCACCACGGAAGGTACGTGCTCCGTTCAGACGGACGAGTCATCCATGGTCGGAACGGAGGAGGGAGGAGGGAGACGGCTGCGAGGCGCTGTTATACTCCATGTTGTACGCCATACCATTGACCGTGGTGTGAGAGGTATTAAGAGTCATTGCCAGCGAAAGAGCTGCGGTCTGAAGGTCATCGTAAAATACAATTAATTAAGAACCGAAATGGTTTAAAACATCTTTCCAGTGGTTACTAAACCAGAATCCATCTTCTCGGTTGAAATTGTCTCTGTGCTTGTATATGTGGATGGCCTCATGAACGAATCTCTCATGGTAGCCGGTTGGCTTGCAAAGAACCTCCGTCTTGGAGAAGTCAATGTCATGTGAGCTCACTGAATTATAACAGTGATCTGCCACGGCAGAGGAGTTCGTTCTGCCGTGTTTTAAGTCTGCTTTATGTTCGCGGATGCGGTCCGAGATATGTCGTTTGGTTTCTCCAATATAGTTACTGCCACAGAGGCACTTTAGTTTGTTAACGCCCGGGTACTGTATGTCTGGAACAGCATCTTTTACAGATGGAACCAGATCACGGATTTTATGTACTGTGTTGAATCGGACCTGGATCTTGTGTTTATTCAGAATTTTGGAGATCTTTTTAGTGACCCCTGCAATGTAGGGCAAGGTGATGGTTTTGAGTGGCTCCACAAAAGGATCCTTAATGAAGTATTAAAGCTTTCGTGACTGCATAAAATTTCTCATTGTTTTTTTCGGTAAAGTCACGTATGTAGAAATACAATAAATTATATTAAAACAAAAAACAATCACGACGTTTCGATCACAACACAAGCGATCTTCATCAGGTGTCAAGAACAGATCACAGAGGTAAATACAACAAAAAGATGAGAGACGAAAATTCAACAAACCTGAAAAAACATTATGTGAAGCACATCCAGTCAGGCCAACAACACAGTTAGACACTTCCTGACGGACCACGAATTTCAGAAGTGTTAAATTTCGTGTTCAACCTTTGGATTGCACATACCAGCATAGATATAATGAAAAATACGAGGTACACGGTCAGTAGAAATACATATACAAGTCCACCAAGAGGTAAAGAGGGAGGAAAGACGGACAGGGAGGAAGATGGAGAGAGAGGGGGGGTCGGAGGGATGAACAGAAGCTTAAATAGGAAATACGGTTGCAGGGGGGGAGGGGCCAGAGCGAGAGCGGCAGCTCAAACACGCACATCTTACACATACAAAACGGCAGCTCAAAAAGGACCACCTCTTGTAAATACAAAACGGCAGCTCAAAAAATGACCACCTCTTGTAAATACAAAACGGCAGCTCAAAAAAGGGCACATCTTACACATAATTACAACGTTAACTTTCATACTTTATTATCACACTTCTACGGGGAAGTTACCGTTGTAATTATGTATAAGATGTGCCCTTTTTTGAGCTGCCGTTTTGTATTTACAAGAGGTGGTCCTTTTTTGAGCTGCCGTTTTGTATGTGTAAGATGTGCGTGTTTCAGCTGCCGCTCTCGCTCTGGCCCCTCCCCCCCCCCCCCTCCAACTGTATTTCCTATTTAAGCTTGTGTTCATCCCTCCGCCCCCCCCTCTCTATCTGCCTCCCTGTCCGTCTTTCCTCCCTCCTTACCTCTTGGTGGACTTGTATATGTATTTCTACTGACCGTGTACCTCGTATTATTCATTCTATCTATGCTGGTATGTGCAATCCAAAGGTTGAACACGAAATTTAACACTCTTCTGAAATTCGTGGTCTGCCAGGAAGTGTCTAACTGTGTTGTTGACCTGACTGGATGTGCTTCACATAATGTTTTTTCAGGTTTGTTTAATTCTCGTCTCTCATATTTTTGTTATATTTACCTCCGTGATTTGTTCTTGACACCTGATGAAGATCGCTTGCGTTGTGATCGAAACGTCGTGATTGTTTTTTTTTTATATAATTTTATTGTATTTCTACATACGTGACTTTACCGAAAAAACCAATGAGTAATTTTATGCAGTCACGAAAGCTTTAATACTTTATTATCACACTTCTACGGGGAAGTTACCGTGGTAATTATGTGTAAGATGTGCCCTTTTTTGAGCAGCCGTTTTGTATTTACAAGAGGTGGTCATTTTTTGGGCTGCCGTTTTGTATTTACAAGAGGTGGTCCTTTTTTGAGCTGCCGTTTTGTATGTGTAAGATGTGCGTGTTTGAGCTGCCGCTCTCGCTCTGGCCCCTCCCCCCCTCCAACCGTATTTCCGATTTAAGCTTCTGTTCATCCCTCCGCCCGCCCCCCCCCCTCTCTCTATATCTGCCTTTCTGTCCGTCTTTCCTCCCTCCTTACCTCTTGGTGGACTTGTATATGTATTTCTACTGACCGTGTACCTTGCATTTTTCATTCTATCTATGCTGGTATGTGCAATCCAAAGGTTGAACACGAAATTTAACACTCTTCTGAAATTCGTGGTCCGCCAGGAAGTGTCTAACTGTGTTCTTGACTTGACTGGATGTGCTTCACATAATGTTTTTTCAGGTTTGTTGAATTCTCGTCTCTCATCTTTTTGTTGTATTTACCTCCGTGATTTGTTCTTGACACCTGATGAAGATCGCTTGCGTTGTGATCGAAACGTCGTGATTGTTTTTTGTTTTAATATAATTTTATTGTATTTCTACATACGTGACTTTACCGAAAAAAACAATGAGTAATTTTATGCAGTCACGAAAGCTTTAATACTTTATTATCACACTTCTACGGGGAAGTTACCGTTGTAATTATGTGTAAGATGTGCCCTTTTTTGAGCAGCCGTTTTGTATTTACAAGAGGTGGTCATTTTTTGGGCTGCCGTTTTGTATTTACAAGAGGTGGTCCTTTTTTGAGCTGCCGTTTTGTATGTGTAAGATGTGCGTGTTTGAGCTGCCGCTCTCGCTCTGGCCCCTCCCCCCCTCCAACCGTATTTCCGATTTAAGCTTCTGTTCATCCCTCCGCCCCCCCCCCCCCCTCTCTCTATATCTGCTTCCCTGTCCGTCTTTCCTCCCTCCTTACCTCTTGGTGGACTTGTATATGTATTTCTACTGACCGTGTACCTTGTATTTTTCATTCTATCTATGCTGGTATGTGCCATCCAAAGGTTGAACACGAAATTTAACACTCTTCTGAAATTCGTGGTCCGCCAGGAAGTGTCTAACTGTGTTGTTGACCTGACTGGATGTGCTTCACATAATGTTTTTTCAGGTTTGTTGAATTCTCGTCTCTCATTTTTTTGTTGTATTTACCTCCGTGATTTGTTATTGACACCTGATGAAGATCGCTTGTGTTGTGATCGAAACGTCGTGATTGTTTTTTTTTAAATATAATTTTATTGTATTTCTACATACGTGACTTTACCGAAAAAAACAATGAGTAATTTTATGCAGTCACGAAAGCATTAATACTTTATTAAGGATCCTCTTGTGGAGCCACTCAAAACCATCACCTTGCCCTACATTGCAGGGGTCACTAAAAAGATCTCCAAAATCCTGAATAAACACAAGATCCAGGTCCGATTCAACACAGTACATAAAATCCGTGATCTGGTTCCATCTGTAAAAGATGCTGTTCCAGACATACAGTACCCGGGCGTTTACAAACTAAAGTGCCTCTGTGGCAGTAACTATATTGAAGAAACCAAACGACATATCTCGGACCGCATCCGCGAACATAAAGCAGACTTGAATCACGGCAGAACGAACTCCTCTGCCGTGGCAGATCACTGTTATAATTCAGTGGGCTCACATGACATTGACTTCTCCAAGACGGAGGTTCTTTGCAAGCCAACCGGCTACCATGAGAGATTCGTTCATGAGGCCATCCACATATACAAGCACAGAGACAATTTCAACCGAGAAGTTGGATTCTGGCTTAGTAACCACTGGAAAGATGTTTTAAACCATTTCGGTTCTTAATTAATTGTATTTTACGATGACCTTCAGACCGCAGCTCTTTCGCTGGCAATGACTCTTAATACCTCTCACACCACGGTCAATGGTATGGCGTACAACATGGAGTATAACAGCGCCTCGCAGCCATCTCCTTCCTGCCTCCTCCATTCCGACCATGGATGACTCGTCCGTCTGAACGGAGCACGTACCTTCCGTGGTGCTGAAGTTGAGGATAAGAATCCACCCATTTTTCGCCATACAGCATTGTGATATATTACGACTTATTGTTGGTAGCTCAGCTGTTTGGAGAATATATAGAGTTTATTGATAACATTGAGGTAGTTTATATTTCAGTTTTCATTGGTTTACTATATGGTATTCATTATATAGTGTAGTGTATACCCAGTTGCTGTTAATAGCTCATCTTATTGAAGAATATATTGAGCACATTTATTATATTGATGTAAGTTAGACTTAGGTTTTTTCACATCAGTTTACTGTATGATAGTTGACTTGTTGCAGCACCCATTGGCATCCATGTACGAGGTACCTCTGTGGATGTGCAAGCCTTGACTTTAACAAAGCTACTTCTGTGACCAGTACTAGGTTCCTCTGTGGAAGTGTAGGCTTCAACTTTAATATAGCTATTTCTGTGACCAGTCACAAGCTAATCCCCTTAACTATTTCAATGCTAAATTCTCCTGTTTGATTTGTACTAGGTGCCTCTGTGGTTGTGTAAGCTTTGAATTTACATAACCATTTCTGTGACCAGTCACAAGCTAATCCCTCAACCTTTTTCAATGCTAAATTATACTGCTTGGGTGCCTGACTTTCGCTCAACCAGCTTAAAAGGGCGCTACGAATCTTAACAGCATTTATTGAAGCTCTGTCGTCCCAACAGGTCTGTCCCTTTCACCTGAAGAAGGCCACTTGTGTTGTGGCCGAAACGTGGTGAGAATTTTATTGTTTTATTTTATTATTTTATTCTCATTCTACGTGACTTTACCGAAAGAACCAAAGAAGATGTTGGAGGATACGTTTACCAAGCGCTGTTCAGCGTAGACTTTAACTTCGTTTTAAATGGTTTAGAGTGGCACTACATCGTGGGCAGTGCAAAATATATTGTTGTACTGTACTATGCTTTGATGTGCATGCTGCACAGCTTATGGAGGCCCCTTATTCAGCAGTGCAATAACCAAATAAACTGTACGTGGAATTCTCTACCGTTCAGCTTTTTTGCAGTTTGGATTTTTTTGTTGTTTAAGTTGTGAAAGGAAACATGATTTTTTCCACACTTGCATCGCATGCGCACAATTTAACCGAAAGAGTGACGACCCCTTTTGACGCAACATTTCTTACGCTGTGTCCATCGCCGTCGTTGAGTGTTATTCCGTTGTTCTCTTCGTCTTCAAAAACCTGAGGCAGCACCCTGCAATGTGCACAAGACCGAACACACCGTCAGCACCTTGGGAGAGAAAACAAATATCTATGAATTAGTTCCGCGGTTGAATTATTTCGTCATTGCACCCTCCAGAGTTGCAAGCGGTTCAACCGAGCAATTCTCGGGCACAACCGAGAATGGGCGTCTTTGATGCCACTGCAAGCCATTGCGATTACCGCCGACAGTGCCACGCAGCGGTGTTAATTCTGGTCACGAAAATAGTGGCCAAAAAATATTTGTCATCACGAGGAAAATGCACCGACCACGATGATTGCGACTGCCCACCAGAGCATGACTGACGGTGAGACATGAACAGGTCTGAATGAAAGTCGCCGAGTAAAGATGCTGATTGCGACTGCCCACCAGATCATGACTGACGGTGAGAAATGAACAAGTCTGAATGAAAGTCGCTGAGTAAAGATGCTGATTGCGACTGCCCACCAGAGCATGACTGACGGTGAGACATGAACAGGTCTGGATGAAAGATGCTGAGTAAAAATGATGTCACAAGAGACAGCAGTGCACCGAAGAAGCCCAACGATGGTAATTGGCGGGACAGTCCATGGCTTACAAACATTTACTGAGGTCCACAATAGAAGTTTTTTGGATTAGATTGCATGAATGTCAATGTGTCGTTAAACCCACCACCACCCGACACAGCCAATTAGTAAGGGTTGTTACGTAAACAGAACGTGGCCAATTCGTCACTAGTGCAGCACACCGGTGTGTTGGAGAGTCAAGCCACAACATTTACAATCCGAGTACGACGTTTCGCCAGCAATTACAACTAGCTTCATCAGGCCGACAGCCAGATTTGTGTGTTAAATTTACTGAGGTCACCCTTTTGCCTTGGAGAGCGATAGAGTGCACACCCGTCCAACATTTAACGAAGCGCAGAGAAATTTGTCTGACCGCTTGAGTCGACTACTCAAATGAAATGTGCAGGCAAAGACTCGACTAACAACGCACGGCTGCCACCCAATGAAAGGATAACTATGACTAAAACATAATAATCACCACCTTGTGGAAAGATAACAGCGGTTGTTATTTGGATATACTGGGTCCTGTCATAGCAATGTGGATTTTTCACCAGCGGCGGTTCGGACCGAGGAAGGGCAGTGAACTCTTACGGAGTGATCATCAAAAAAAAACAACACGGCAAAGTATTGGTCAAACTAAATTTTAAAAACTTGATTTGAAGCTTTCGTGACTGTAGGAATGACTCTTTGGTTCTTTCGGTAAAGTCACGTAGTTGTATTCTAGATTTGAAGCTGTTGTGTCTATGTTGTGTGTCTCTGTGTGTCTCCGTGTTGTCTCTCTCTCTGCTTGTGTGTCTGTCTGTGTGTTTGTGTTGTGTGTCTCTCTCTGCTTGTGTGTCTGTGTGTTTGTGTTGTGTGTCTCTCTCTGCTTGTGTGTCTGTCTGTGTGTTAGTGTTGTGTGTCTCTCTCTGCTTGTGTCTGTCTGTGTGTCTCTGTGTGTGTCTCTCTCTGTGTCTCTGTATTGTCTCTCTCTGCTTGTGTGTCTGTCTGTGTGTTTGTGTTGTGTGTGTCTCTCTGTGTCTCTGTGTTGTCTCTCTCTGCTTGTGTGTCTGTCTGTGTTTGTGTTGTGTGTGTCTCTCTGTGTGTCTCTGTGTTATCTCTCTCTGCTTGTGTGTCTGTCTGTGTGTTTGTGTTGTGTGTGTCTCTCTCTCTGTGTGTCTCTGTGTTGTCTCTCTGCTTGTGTGTCTGTCTGTGTGTCTATGTTGTGTGTCTCTCTGTGTCTCTGTGTTATCTCTCTCTGCTTGTGTCTGTCTGTGTGTTTGTGTTGTGTGTCTCTCTCTGTGTCTCTGTGTTGTCTCTCTCTGCCTGTGTGTCTGTCTGTGTGTTTGTGTTGTGTGTGTCTCTCTCTGTGTGTCTCTGTGTTGTCTCTCTCTGCTTGTGTCTGTCTGTGTGTTTGTGTTGTGTGTCTCTCTGTGTGTCTCTGTGTTGTCTCTCTCTGCTTGTCTGTGTGTTTGTGTTGTGTCTCTCTCTGTGTGTCTCTGTGTCTCTCTGCTTGTGTCTCTCTCTGTTTGTCTCCGTGTCTGTGTTTTATCTCTCTCTCACATTTAGCAATCATTGAAAGAACGCAATCAACCAGGTAGGGTGTTGACTGTTATGTTAGCCGACTCTCTGTGTGGTATTTCATTGTATTTCTAAGTGTATTCGGTTTGTTTTCTCTTTCATTTGTACCTGATGATGATTGCTTGTGTTGCAATCGAAACGTCGTATTCTATTATTTAATTTATTTTCTTTCTACGTGACTTTACACCTAAAGAACCAAATAATAAATTTACAAAGCCATATATGTCTACATATTAATCTGGAAAATTAATGATCAAACACACGGACTTCCGTAACACAACCAACAATCAATTTGACTTCCTTAACAATGACAAAGATCCCCCGTATAGCCTTAGCAGACTGGAGGGGCAAGTGCAGTTAGCGACCACCTATAAAGGCGGTGGCCAGCACCACGCCCGGCCGCCTTTGTCTCCCCAGTGGCGATGTTTACACACCGCACCGGGCACTCAGTTGATGCTGAGTCGACCTAGGGGAGACGCAGCACCACCGTTCCCCGCTTCGCAATGACACAACAGCAACAACAACACAGGATGTCACCACGACGCTTGTGCCAGGCTATGTGCACGTTGACACACGCACACACACACACATAAACATGTACAATTAACACTCAAGCGTTCAGAAGGGTGCAGAAAGCTATACATGCCTTGTTCTCGTGGTTCCTTGTAAATGGATGGTGGACAAACTTTGAGGAAGTCGCTCTATATATATGGGGTGGTGTGTGGGTGGTGGTTTGCTTTGGCGGAACGAGTAGTGTCTCGTTTCGGAGAAGTGACGGGAGAATTCGTCATCGTTATTGTGAACGAATAAGTGACGACGTTCCCACGGGTTTCGTTCGAGCTGTAAGCTTGTGTCTTCCATGAGATGGCGCCTCTCAACCGGCGCACTTAAAAAATTAATGATTAAAGTGTACGGAGCATCACGAATTCGTGATCGCTGGAACGCTCAAGGCAACGAACGTTTTTTTAAAATAATATTCACGTCAACACCGTAATTATAATATTCAAATATGCTCAAAATGTGCCCCCCCCCCCCCAATATATTGCTATAAAACATTGCTATGCTATGTAAATAAAAATAACACTTGGTTATACCTTGGCCACAATATCTGGATTTGTCTTCATATAAATAAATGCATAGATTTCTGTTTATATGATTGTGGTTATGGTTGTACTTTATTAATCCCTAATCTCTGCCATTACATACAATGAAACAAGAAATGGTACAAAAGAAAAAAAAACAGAGCAATGTAATACAATACACTATTAGACATTATTGTAAAAAAACATATCAAAAGTCCATCACATGTGCTATGAATTTTTTTTTAATGTTTTAGGCAGGAAATTAGTTTTCAAATTTAGATATTTTTCTGGGTTGGGATCCCCAGACACCCTGGAAGATTTGGACCCCCCCCCAATGTTGACTCCATGGCTACGGCCTTGATTCACGTATTATACTTTAAAAAAATAATCGCATCCGCACAAACCATTTGATGCAATTCCCACCACTTATTGAACAATCTGTGTTGCGTATATACATTGTTATTTTTTTTGGTGTGGCTTTCACATAAGCCCTCTTGGGTTTCCAACCTCACCTGCGCACTTTTTTTACCTTGTTTTTTTATTTTGCACTGTTTGTCTTTCACTTGGTCTTTTTTGTGCGAATAATAAAAGCAAATTCAATGTCATCCCCGTTGTGCAATTGGCATCACGGCGTGAGACAAAGGACCCGCCAGGATCTCTCCCTGAGCAGTGAGATCCTTCCGTGTACAAGAACCCCGCATGGAAGTGGACACTACAGATCTACCTCTGAGACCTGCTCCATTCCCCCACGGGGCAGCGCCATCCTCCCTACTCGCTCTGCGTGTCATATTGTTGTGACGTTCATCGCACGGCAGTCGACGCGATATGTTTCACTTATCAGGGCTGTAATTTATAAAAAAATAAGTGCACACTCAAATGTAATGTGATGGCTGTTTCTGTGTCGTCATTGGTGACCGGAGCAGAGACCATTAACGCACTGCTGCACTTGAGAACCAAGTTTGGTTCGGGCAACTGAAACCTGCAATGAAAATCCAGGAGATAAGCGGTGCACTCTGGCCCACGTTGGCCATCTTCCCAATTATTTCTTAGTCATTATCCACAGGTTGTACAGGCCCGGCCCAACCACCACCACCACCACCACCACCACACCTCACGGTCCTGCCTAACAACCACCACCATCGCACCTCATGGCCCTGTCAAACCACCACCACCACCACCACCACGCCTCATGGCCCTGTCAAACCACCACCACACGATCCTGTCCCAAACACCACCACACCTCATGATCCTGCCCAACAACCACCACCACCACACCTCATGGCCCTGCACAACCACCAACACCACCACACCTCATGATCTTGCCCAAACACCACCACCACCACCACACCTCATGATCTTGCCCAAACACCACCACCACCACCACACCTCATGATCCTGACAAACAACCACCACCACGCCTCATGGCCTTGCCCAAACACCACCACCACACCTCATGGCCCTGCCCCAACCACCACCACACCTCACGATCCTGCCCAACCACCACCACACCTCATGATCCTGCCCAACAACCACCACCACACCTCATGATCCTGCCCAACAACCACCACCACCACACCTCATGATCCTGCCCCAACCACCACCACGCCTCATGGCCCTGCCCAAACACCACCACGCCTCATGGCCCTGCACAACCACCACCACCACTCATGATCCTGCACAACCACCACACCTCATGGCCCTGCCCAACCACCACCACTCATGACCCTGCACCACCACCACCACCACCACACCTCATGATCCTGCACAACCACCACACCTCATGGCCCTGCCCAACCACCACCACCACTCATGACCCTGCCCCAACCACCACCACGCCTCATGGCCCTGCCCAAACACCACCACGCCTCATGGCCCTGCACAACCACCACCACCACTCATGACCCTGCACCACCACCACCACCACACCTCATGATCCTGCACAACCACCACACCTCATGGCCCTGCCCAACCACCACCACCACTCATGACCCTGCACCAGCACCACCACTCATGGTACCGCCCACCAACCTCAACCCCCTCGTGCACAAAATTGGAACCACCACCACCCCCACGACGTCGACGGCGCCTTCAGTGCACGTGACCCGAGTTGCTCACTCGCTCGAGTGGCGCTGATAGCGGCTGCGGCGTCTCTGTGGTTGTAGAAGCACGTCTGCGTGTACACAAGCACGTCTGTGTACACAAGCACGGCTGCGTGTACAAGCACGTCTGCGTACACAAGCACGTCTGCGTGTACAAGCACGTCTGTGTGTACGAGCACGTCTGCGTTTTGTCCTCACGCCCACCAAGAAAGCCGCGTCCTGAACCTGGAGACAATGCCCGAACATCGGGCAGAATCTTTCGCCACCGCCGACGAGGAGACGCGGCGCAATGGAGGAGGCCACGGGTCTCCCTCGACAGGCGAGGACATTGCTGCTGCTGCTGCTGCTTGCGTGTGATGGTGATGGTGGTGATGATGGTGGTGGTGGTGATGGTGGTGGTGGTGATGGTGGTGGTGGTGATGATGGTGGTGGTGATGGTGGTGGTGGTGATGATGTTGATGGGAGCGGTGCTGGTGGTGATGTGGAAGTGGCTGCTTGTACGTCCAAGGGGGTGCCGCTGGTGGTTGTAGCTTGTAAAATGTGATGGTTGTTGTTGTTGGTGGTGGTCGTGGAAATAGTTTGTTGATGGTGGTGGTGGTAGAGGCTTGGGGAGGTAATGGTCGTGGTGGCGATGGCGCTCGTTGTTGTTGATAGTCGTGGTGTGGTAAACATCTCGCCGTCGCGTGTTATTAGGCATGATGTCCGACGTTTCGTGTCCACTTCGTGAAGAAGCGCCCAGCATTTCGATCACCGCCAGCATCATCACCATCACGCGCGGCCGGCGCGGCTGGAAAGCCCCACGGAGTAGCGGGCACGGTGGCGACTTTTCGGGGTGATGAAGATGTTGATGGTGGTGGTGGAAGCGATGATGATAACGATGTTGATCATGTTGGTGGTGGCTGTGGCCATGGAGGGTCGCAGTTGTTGGTCGTGAGAGTGTTGAAGGGCAGTGCCGGATTAAGCTAGCGCGGGGGCCTGTAGCATACGTTATAAAGAGGCCTAAAAAAACTAATTAAAACACATTTTCAACTTGCATAGTAAAGTAATTGTATTTTTTCATTTGCTATGCAGCCAGATAATACGACAAATCTGTAACATTAAACACCCAGTCGTTCATAAAAGGCGGTATAGTACTATAGTAATAGAGCAAGTGCAGAATCACTGGACCGGAATTGATAGCTTTGAAAGCGTTTAGCGCGGGGCCCTTGAAAGTGCAGGGCCCGTAACTCCTGCATGTGTAGTAGCTACTTTTGCTCCTGCATGTGTAGTAGCTACTGTTGCTCCTGCATGTGTAGTGGCTACTTTTGCTCCTGCATGTGTAGTAGCTATTTTATCTCCCGCATGTGTAGTAGCTACTTTAGCTCCCGCATGTGTAGTAGCTACTTTAGCTCCTGCATGTGTAGCAGCTACTTTAGCTCCTGCATGTGTAGTAGCTACTTTTGCTCCTGCATGTGTAGTAGCTACTTTTGCTCCTGCATGTGTAGCAGCTACTTTTGCTCCTGCATGTGTAGTAGCTACTTTAGCTCCTGCATGTGTAGCAGCTACTTTTGCTCCTGCATGTGTAGTAGCTACTTTTGCTCCTGCATGTGTAGCAGCTACTTTAGCTCCTGCATGTGTAGTAGCTACTTTTGCTCCTGCATGTGTAGTAGCTACTTTAGCTCCTGCATGTGTAGTAGCTACTTTTGCTCCTGCATGTGTAGTAGCCACTTTTGCTCCTGCATGTGTAGTAGCTACTTTTGCTCCTGCACGTGTAGTAGCTACTTTTGCTCCTGCACGTGTAGTAGCTACTTTTGCTCCTGCATGTGTAGTAGCTACTTTTGCTCCTGCATGTGTAGTAGCTACTTTTGCTCCTGCATGTGTAGTAGCTACTTTTGCTCCTGCATGTGTAGTAGCTACTTTTGCTCCTGCATGTGTAGTAGCTACTTTTGCTCCTGCATGTGTAGTAGCTACTTTTGCTCCTGCATGTGTAGTAGCTACTTTAGCTCCTGCATGTGTAGTAGCTACTTTAGCTCCTGCATGTGTAGTAGCTACTTTAGCTCCTGCATGTGTAGTGGCTACTTTTGCTCCTGCATGTGTAGTAGCTACTTTAGCTCCTGCATGTGTAGTAGCTACTTTAGCTCCTGCATGTGTAGTAGCTACTTTTGCTCCTGCATGTGTAGTAGCTACTTTTGCTCCTGCATGTGTAGTAGCTACTTTTGCTCCTGCATGTGTAGTAGCTACTTTTGCTCCTGCATGTGTAGCAGCTACTTTTTCTCCTGCATGTGTAGTAGCTACTTTTGCTCCTGCATGTGTAGTAGCTATTTTGCTCCTGCATGTGTAGTAGCTACTTTAGCTCCTGCATGTGTAGTAGCTACTTTAGCTTCTGCATGTGTAGTAGCTACTTTAGCTCCTGCATGTGTAGTAGCTATTTTAGCTCCTGCATGTGTAGTAGCTACTTTAGCTCCTGCATGTGTAGTAGCTACTTTTGCTCCTGCATGTGTAGTAGCTACTTTTGCTCCTGCATGTGTAGTAGCTACTTTTGCTCCTGCATGTGTAGTAGCTACTTTTGCTCCTGCATGTGTAGTAGCTACTTTTGCTCCTGCATGTGTAGTAGCTACTTTTGCTCCTACGATAATCTGGCACTGGTGAAAGGGGGTGGTGGGTTTACTACCCGCAGTGATGGCGAGGGTGACTTCCACTGTCAGTTGTGGTGTTGCTTATGGAGGTGGTGTTAATAATGGTGGTGTGGTCGTGCTCTCGACCTGGACAAATTCCCATCGGTGAGCTCCTCCGGCAGGCAAGGCTGCGTTGGGCCGGGTCACGTAGCCCGCATGCCCAAAGCAGCTTCTTCTGTTTGGCCGCATAGAGGGGAGCTAAATGGGCACGACACGGGCTGGAGAAGAGATGAAGCTGATGCGCTACGGGCAGGAGGATGTGGAGCTGAGTGGACTTGCCAACTACTGGTACCGGTGGTGTCAAGATCGGCCCCTCTGGAGGAGTCTCTTGAAGGATGCTGCTGCTGCTGCTGGGCAGTTGGAGGCAGTCGCCCTCCAGCAACAACGGGGGGCAGAAGAGCGACGCTCACAACAACGAGCGGAGCGCCGGGCGGATCAAGTACAGCAAGTTGGCACCGTAGGGGGTACAGCTGGTGGTGCATCTACCGTTAATCGCAGCGAGCCTTCGACACTTCACGTGGCTTCAAAGTGCACCTAGCCTGGCACAGGCGCCGTGGTGAATATCCCCGTCACTTTGTGGCGAATGGCGCTGGTTGTTGGTTAATTGGCCGTGCGTTGGTGCTGGCCACCCACCCTTCGTGTGCCGTGCCGGCCTTCATAGGTGCTCGCTAACAGCGCTAGCCCCAACAGTCTGTCACAGACTATTGGTGATAGCAGTGATAGTAGTGATTGGTAATGGTGAAGGTGGTGGCGTCTCGTTGGTTGTCGTTGTCTTGTTAAAGATGATGATGATGGTGGTGATGTTGCTGAGTGTGGGAGAGTGGGAAGGTCGTGGTTATTAATGATGTTGATGGTGGTATTGATTGTAATGGTGTTCGTAATGGCGGTTGTGGTATTCATGGTGTTTTTAATTACTGTATGGTGGTATTTGATGGTGCTGCTGGTGTGACCCCGTAGTATGATGATGGTGGTGGTGATAATAATGCGGATAGTGGTGTTTATTGGTCATGGTGTTGAAGGTAGTGCTGATGATGATGGTGTTGGTATTGATCATGGTGGTAATGACAGTGGTTATATCGATACTGATGAATTAATTGATGATGGTGGTGGTGATGTTGATGGCACCGAGTGATCGTGTTGGTGGTGGTACTACTGATGGTGATAATGGCTGTGATATTGATGGCAATAATGGTCAAAATATTGATGAGGGTGATGATGTTGGTGGCATAGATTGTGATTGATGATGATGATGATGAAGAAAATTATGGTGATGGTGGTATTTGTATCGTTTGTTGTAAATCACTGACCCCCCCCGCCCCCCCCCCCGCCCCCCCCGCTCCCCGACTTGACATCTGGGAAAAAAAAAAACTTCACAGCTCATTGGATTCCTCCAGTCTAAATGAAAAGATTCTGATTCTCAGTGGTAGCATTAACTGGTGGTGGTTATCGATGGTAATGATAGTGGAGGTACGTTTGACAGTGTGAGCATGATTATTATGGCCGCCGCTGGTGCTATCCTTGCGGTGTGCGCGTTCCACAGAAGCGGGAGTCGCTCCACCACCCCTGCACACGTCCACCAGCAGCCCAGAGAACGACCCGCAGGAAGGCCGTCCGTGCGGGAAGGCAGAGCCCCGTGTCACGAGCCCGAGCCCCCGTCGGATCGCTGACATACCGCTGACCGCTACGGTCCCGGCAAAGACCGATGACTTGAAGATGACGTTGACAGTAAAGTTGAAGAAGCGGAAGATAATACCGGCGAAGGAGGTTGAAAGTCCTGAGAGCAATGGCACTACAGAGACCTCGGGCTCAAGCTTCCAGAGCATCACCATAGACGAGGCTGAGAGTCCGAGCCCAACGCCCAAGCAGGTGGTGCCTAGCACTGGCTGGGGGTTCTTATCCAGGTAATAGAGATATCAACGTATACCTATTGTCCATCCGCTGCTGGATGAGGGCCTCCCCACGCCGTGTTGATCTCGTGGGGCTTGTCTGTGGTGGATGGGCAGGACCGTGGGGTGTGCGGGTTGTCGAAGGAGGGCTGCGTAGATGTGGGTGGCACGTAGTGCAGGTATATATTATTTCGCACACAAACTCGATATGAGTTTAACACGTAGGTTTTTTTGGGTTGGATCACATAAATATAAAAATATGTCGTTAAACCCGCCACCACCCGACACAGCCAATTAGTAAGGGTTGTCACGTAAATCTGGCTGTCGCCTGATGAAGCTAGTTGTAATTACTGGCGAAACGTCGTACTCAGATTCTAAATGTTGTGGCTTGGCTCTCCAACACACCGGTGTGCCGTACTAGTAATGAATTGGCATGTTCTGTTTATGTGACAGCCCTTAATAATTGGCTGTCAGGTGGTGGTGGGTTTAACGACATATTTAGGCGATCTAACCCAAAACACCTGTATTATGGATCAATATGAGTTGCTGTGAAGTGCAAGGGGTAGTGTAATCTTATGAGCAGAACTTGGTTCGAAAGTTCCACGTGTAAATACAAATATTATTTTAGTCCATCAGCCTATTGGCTGCCCGGACAATATTATACAGCAGCACTTGCTTTAGCAAGAAAACACGGGTCGCTTTTGACCACCTTGGTCTCCTCAGCGGAGTCGGCCTTGTTCAACGAAGGCTGCTGGGTTACCAGATATTACGTGCAAGAGCACTCAATCTAAACTATGGGGCCCTGAGGAAGTTGAACTTGATGAAGGACCCTGTGACGTCAACTGATTTCCGAAGTGTCCCAGGTAAAATCCGCGGCTCCTTTATCAGCAGGAGCTTGAGGAGTCCACTCACCGGGCCCGCATGGTGACAGGCGAGTCACGGTGGGGCTACCGTGGGAACGCTCGCCAAGCCGACGTCTATCCCAGTGGTGGTGGTAACACAGCATTGAAGGAAACTGCAGTTTTTCAGCTCCTACATCTTTTCCACTGTACAAACGGAGCCGCGCCGGGTGCTGTGGCAAGCCGGCCTGGCGCGGGTTCAGGAGGCACCAGGTTGTTTTCCACTGCAGTAACCGCGAGGCGTGCCACCGACGTTGCACGCAATGAGCGAGTGGAGATTGCGTGATTGATGACGTGGTGGGATGCCGTGCGCTTCCTGACTGATGTTACGCATCCACGAGACCCATGCCCCCTGAGCCAGATTAAGATAGCCTCTTGTGAGTGCCAGTGGTAGCACGGTTTGGGTCCGGCTTGGCACGGCAAAAAGCCATCAGGAAAGGTATTGTGGGGGCTCCCACGCTGGTTTTGCTTAGATGTGCCAATGGAAAAGATGTATTGAAGACCACCCCATGTCACCCAACTCGTGCTTTTTTGCAGCGGTCTGTTCTCAACAAAACAGAGCGATGACGCTCATGACACAAGCAGCCGAGTTGGAGCCTGGCCCTGGAAGATCCTCAAGAGCACCTTCGGGCACAAGGATTCCACTGCCGGCGGTCGCCAGGTGAAAACGTAAAACCTCTTGTGCCGGGCAAAGTTCGGATCTGTGCTGTTATTCGTATCGATAGAATAGTGATCGCCTTGGCAAGCTGTTGGATATGTTGGGCAATACATACTCGTTGATGGGATTCTACCGTGGTCGAAAGGTTAGCACACTAGACTTGCAATCTAGGTTCTTCCATCTTCTGGGTTCGTTCGGTAAAGTCACGTAGAATGGAGATAAAATAATAAAAATAATAATAAAATTCTCACGACGTTTCGGCCACAACACAAGTAGCCTTCCTGAGGAGTAGCCTGAGGAAGGCTACTTGTGTTGTGGCCGAAACGTCGTGAGAATTTTATTCTGTTATTTTTATTATTTTATCTCCATTCTACGTGACTTTACCGAAAGAACCCAGAAGATGAATCCCTGCAGTCACGAAAGCTTTAAATCGAGGTTCTTCCAATTCGTTCACCCGGTGCAGCAGTTAAAGGAATGGCCAAGTTGCTTAAATCCTGTTTGTCCACCCAGCATTAAAAGTGGGTACACCTCGGTTAATCGGCAGGTCGTGTGTGGTGCAGTAAAGTGTGGGTACACCCACCTATTGCAAGGCTTCTAGCCAGCGTGGCAGAGTAGGACAAACTACCCCTTAGAGCTTCTTATAGTGGAGGCCCTTCCGCCAGCAGTGGCGTGACTAAGCAATTTCAGGGCTGCACCTTTATCTTTTACACTAGATGGTATAATCCTTTGTGGTACAGGAGTTGCGAGAGTGTTTTCGCCAGGCATTTGCGAACTACTGGCGTCACCTGGTATAAATAACCGTATTGAATTGGACCTTCACGTATCATTACACTGGTGTAAGCTGCAAGGTGACCAGAAGATGAAAGAAAAGCAATGGTTTCTCTAATCTGTGTGGGTCTTTTGAGTGTTATCCCCCCATACGTGTTGGTTTTCTCCAGGTTCTTCAATTTCATCCCACATGAAGCCCAAACACTTATTACTGACCAAACATCCCAATGAGGGACCCTCCAAAATATAGTCTTGAAGCTCAGGGAGGTTTTTTCTATCTAATTAAAAGACATTGTGTTATTGCGGTTGTAGGGCTTCATTGCCAGCAGTAGGCACAGCGAAAATTTATATGGTTGTACTGTACTATACTCTCGTGTCTATGCTCCCCACCATCTCTGCAAACAGACGGCATGGCGCTGTATGATCAACACAACGTATGGGTAATCGGTCGACCGATCACTCTTCATCCGTAATTTCTCCCGACGCTGCCTTGCAATCTCTCGTCCGTGTTGTCTCTTGTGGCGGGGAACGAAACCCCCCACCGTTGTTATTGTCACCATTGCTCGCCGTGCGCGCGTGTGAAGAGCGAGCAAGCCGGGCCAGCGGTCGACCATGTGCCCGAGTTGACCTGGCCGAGGCTGTGGCGGAGCAGAGTGGACCTCTGCACGGCTGAGTTCACCTCTGCGGCGACCACCGTGATCGTCCTTGAGCAGCGGCCAAAGTACGGCCCTTGTCTTTTTGTTGTTGTTGTTGTTGTTGTTCTTCGTTCTCCAGATTGTTGCGTTGTGAGTGTAATCAGTCCGGTAATTCACGGTGGCTGCATGTGGATCGGTTGACTGCGCTGGTTGTGATGGTGTTGATGGACCAGTTCAACATACATACATGCGCTTGATATTTGTAATGGGCGTGATAATATGCATAAGGGATTTTGCAGATTTTCTCCATTATTTTGGAATCTCCAAAAAACATGTATCATGTGACGAATTTTTTGACGATATGTGACGTCACTTATAAAGAATATGAAATGTTAAATTCAGTGTATAAATAATGAAATGCACTTAAATGTACATACCAAAATACGTAACAAAATTTGCAATCCGGCCTTAAAAACCGATATCTAAAAATATGTAATCTGAAACTCATCCTGAATATGCATAAATCATGTTATCCGCTCTGTCGATATTGACCTCTGCTTTACGCACTGATTATGTAAATAAGGATTTTGACTTCCCATTATCGGGACGGTGGCGATATAGTCAACTCTCGATCATCTGGAGTGATTGGGGGGGAGGGGTGCCCGGGTAAAACAAAAACAGATAAATGCAAAACACACGTAGCATTAGGGTAGTAAAGCATATGAATTGTTCACCTATGTAGAATGGGGGTGAAGATGTAGAATGTCAGCTTGCTTTTATTGCCCTTCGGAGTAATCGCTTTTTTGGACTTGTCAGCGTGTGTTTGTGCTCACGTGGGTACTCCGTCACGTAGGTAGCCGAGGCCCGGCAAATAATAGAACCAGCGTCCGTAGAGACACAGACGTCCCGAGAGCACGCCGAATCGGGGGGACCGTCCTGGACCCCTGTGTGCTTTGGGGGACCCCTCGCTTTGACTTCACGGTGTCTGATGGTATACTTCCTGTTTAGTTTGAAGGCATGAGGGGTGGACCCACACAGTGTGATTTGCCCTGGGCCCAGCACGCCCCTTTGGATGGCCCTGCGTAGAGAAATGGATATTTTAATTGCAAGCACTGTGAATAAGCAACCCGGATTATCCACCCATGGGTGTTATGTATGTTGAACTTTTTTGCATGGTATGTAGTTAACCGTGCTAATTGAGAGGTGCGGGGGAAGGACAATATACTAAACACAAAAAGCAATAAAAAAAATCACGACGTTTCGATCAAAACACAAGCAATCGTCATCACCTGATGACGATTGCTTGTGTTGTGTTGTCATCACCTGATGACGATTGCTTGTGTTGTGTGTGGAGAAACGCCGGCCTCTCTTTCCTGCAATGTGCAAGTCATGTGCGTGTAAACGTGCGAGCGGCTACAAACGCTTATTGCGTTTGTGTGATTTCCAGTAGGGTCGCTGCGAAATGGAGATACGCCGGTGTATCGTAGAAGATCCGCCACGATAGTCGTACTTTCCGTTTTGCAAATAATGTGGCCATCATGATTACCGTGGCTCATGTTATATTTTAAACATTTAAATTTCCTTACAAGTTATTCACGGCATATTAAACGCAATAATTACATTTCCTGAATAGCTGTTGCCACTTAAGTTAGCGCCTTACAAAGCAGTTGTCTGGAGTAATTGACGTCTCCACTATTATATCACATCATCATTGTTTTAGGTCTTGTTAATTATTTCATTAGTTTTTGTTTGACTGGCAGCATGTGCATTGTGAGAATTACAGATTCTAAATCTGTACTACTCACAAGACTTATGGCAGGCTTGTGTTGACTGAACTGCAGTTGGGAAAACGTTTAAGTACCATAATCTTTATTTGCACTGGGAGCACAGAAAAGTGTAAATGCTACACGACAAAAAATGGGAACTACAATTACAAAGTTATGGAAAACTGATATGGTGAAAATTGTTATATAATGAACATTTATATTGCACTGTATCAAGAAAAAAATATATCGCGGCAACCTTATTTATCACGTGATAATTGAATTGCTTACGCCCGATGTTTTGTGCCACTTAATGTCGGAGTGTAAATAATAATTTATCTGCTTGTATGCACGTGCTGGGTCCCGCAGAAATCTGCCTCCGAAGCCCCTTGCTGAGCAGCAAAGGCACAGAGTGCAGTACGAGGCCATGCTTCGCGAAATACAGAAGCAAGGTACAAGAACGGGCATCTTCACTCGCGCTGCGATTACGACAGGAGGCAAACGGTTCTTCTCGGAGGCATTGTGTGTCCTCATTGCAGGACCAGTTCAGGGGTGGGATGACCCAGCATATCCATTTTCTAAACGCACAGCCCCATTATTTACATAAAGACCAAATTTAGCCGATTCACAGCTTGTAACGTGTGCATTGCTTTCAGGAATTACAGTTGCGAATGCTCTGCTATAAAGAAATATGCAAATATGAATATACATGTCAAAGATTAAAGGCACACTTAAATCATCATAGTGGGTCAAAGGTATATTGTGCTCAAATGAGAATTGAAGCAGTGCTCATCACCTGTGTACAGCCCTGAGCCAGCGGTGGGAATTCTCCATTCCTATGATGGTGGTTGGGGGGGGGGGGAGTCACCTCATAGGACATCCACTGTCAACTTCCGTACAGTGGTACTCATTTTATGGACCCCAGAGGGATGATGGACTAAATCGGGGGGTTGGCCACCAAAATAACAAGAAGGGCCATTTTCTTTGAATTGGGTGCAAAAAAAAAAAACCCCCAACTCTATTTCAATGGCCGCGATTCAATGTGAATGACGTCACGAAGCGGTCCTTAAAAAGAGAGCCGCGTGCGGATCCGGAGACAGCAGGTTGGCCGCCCCTGGGCTAAGTCAACCCCCAACCAAGATGTGAACTCGCAACCTTTCCGATTGCGAGCCGACGCCCTCAACCCCCCCCCCCAGCCACCTGGCCAGATCCGGTTACCGTGCAGCACGCCCCAAAACTAGGACTGCCTTGGTATGACATTTCCGCACAGCTAACAAAAAGTCAACATTTCTTTGGACACTGGTCAATTCTTCAGCGTAGAGAGTGCGAATTTTGTTTTAGATAATGAGGTGTACCCCAGATCCCACCACCTCCACCGATTCACACGGGATACAATATGTCTAGCCACGTTATTTCGAGGAGAGTAACCTAAACTGTAAGCTTTTTTATTTTACCATTGGTAAGGCCCACTGAGCTCTATAGTTTTCTTTCAGAAGCGACCTGGCCACAAATGAATGCTCATCTATAAGCAGCCAAACACTATATTGTATTGTTTTATATATATTTTATTATTTTATAGTTTCCCTTCAACGTGACTTTACTGAAAGAGCTAAGAATATGAATTACTGCAGTCACGAAGCTTTAAATCAAAATTCAGCCAAACACTCTTTAAACGCTTGTTCATTCTGAATGTGGAGGGAAAAACCAGAGGACCCGGAGAAAAATCCTCGCGACCACGGGGAGAGAGAAACGCGCAAACTCCAAATATACAGCAGCAGGCGTCAGGGTCGGGATTGAACCCACGAACTGCTGTATACCAGGCGAGGTAGTTAACATCTCGCCACCGCGGCGCCCCGGACACTGTGCGGGGTGGGGGATGGCCCCCTTGCGTCTCGCCTTGTCCTCCCTCAGAGGAGCGAGCGTGTGAGCGGCGGCGGCGGCTTGAGGAGGAGCGGTGCCGCCGGGAGGAGGTGGCGACGCGGACGACTGCCCTGTGGAGCCGCGGCGTGCTGCCGCGCTGGCAAGAAGTGTGCGTGTACCACCCCACTGCCACCTGTGTTACAGAATTCCTTAACGTTTCACGACATGCGGTTCTTTCATATAAGAGTTCCCGTTGCAGAGCACAGGCCCAGGGAGGGCCAAATTGGCCAAGCGGCCAGCAACAAACATTAAAGTTGTATTAGATAACAGTTAATAGGTACAGTACGTTGAACTGTAAGAACCTTGGCGAGAGTTGGCGGGAGAGAATTCCAAAGTGGGGAGCAGCGAGAGGGTAGAAGCAGGAAGAGAAGGTGCTTTGTCCTGCGGGTTTGGTGGTTGAACGTCGTGCTGATGAACGCTGTGTTTATGAGACTAAACAGTCTGCTAGTAGAGGGACAAGGCGGAGACTTGCCACCAGTGAGTGAGTGAGTGAATTGATAAGTGCTGGTTCATCGGTGAACATAATTGCGTTATGTGGAACTCTACGAAATACAGCAAGGTAGGAAACTGGGTGCTCCTCCACCCCAGATTTGACAACGGTGTTCCAGCTTTGTCTTTGGAGGTATTTGTTTGCAGTTCGTCATCACAAGTGTTGAGTTATCAGTACGGAAGGTGAAGAAAAAGAACCCTCTCACTGGTGAAACCAGTGGGGGGGGGGGGGCGTGGGGTGGCACGTGCCCCCCCCAATGATCCGATCGCAAACAGATTCTGTCCACGCTTAAAGACTTAAGTTTGTCTACAAAAACTAGTGGTGCTCGGATTACGTTCAAAGTTGCAGCTCGAGAGACGTGCGCGGTAATGTCACGGCGTGGTAAAGAAAGTCGCCCCGGCAACCCGACGGCGTGGGGAGGCCCTCCTCGCCCAGCCGTGTGGATTGACCGATGATAAAAGGGCCGGTGAGTCTGTAGCGCACCGTCACAATAATTGCGAAAATCTTGGTCGTTGCGCGAGGCAATGTGGTGGTGTTTGCTGAACAGGTGCAAGAGCCGCAAGGTGCGCAGCTTGTGGTGGGAGGGCATTCCTCCGAGTGTGCGTGGTTGGGTGTGGCAGCACAGCATTGGCAACCAACTCAACATTACACCTGGTGGGTGGATAGGTATATTGGGTGGGTCGGTTGATATTGATCAAAATTTTTTTTTTTACCAGGTAAGGCCCACTGAGCCCATATAGAGCTCTGTCAAGCTAGCTGGCAACAAATGATAGCAAAATGAAGTGGCTTATCACGTGGACATTGATAGCAACCAAATACTCAAAACGCATGTTTCTAAATGTGGAGGGGAAAAACCGGAGGACCCGGTTAAAAAATCAACGCATCAACAGGGAGAACATGCAAACTCCCAAATATTCAGCAGGTCGGGATCGAACCCACATCCTGTATATCAGGCGAGGTAGTTAACATTTCGCCACCGCAATACATTGGGTGGGAGGGTTGGATATATCGGGTGGCTTGGGCACTGTGTGGGCGGCTGGGTGGGTGGATGTTTGGCCCGCTGCATTTCTCCAGCACCTCTCGGATGGAGTGGCCCCAATGGGAGCTGTTAAGTGGGGGGCCACCGTAACAGTGATCCGCCACCAAGGAGCGTGAACTCGGGTTGGCGCTGGACCCACCAGAGCACCCCTCCCCCACCGAGCGCTGGCACTGGTTTTGGGGGGCCCTCTGTTTATTAAATTGTTTTCCTTTCACAGTTTTAACCATCACCCGTGCCCAATGCCAAACTCCACGATTGTTCACCTTGGTCATTTGAGTTTTAGTTTTTAAATGTTACGTACAAATTGTGCAGCCAAGTCAAAATAAAACTTTTGAAAAAGTTTTCATTTTGGCTTTAACTACTGCGCCTTGGGACTGTTATTAAGTCTGTTTTTTTTTGGGGGGGGGGGCTACATTTCTGAGGCCCTGGGCTACAGCCCTGAAAGTCCCTGCATGAATCCGACCCTGGCTGTGTGTGAATGTTTTTTTCCTTCTCAAGAACTGTACGAAATTTTCCTCGCCCGGTGGAAGGAGCTTGAAGACTCGTGCGGGGACTGCTGCTGCTATATGGATGGTAGCGTGTCGCACGCTCAACACTCTGCCCGATCTCAGCGGAGCTTCAGGCTGTGCTTTGCAGTCTATTCGACGTCTTTTTTTCCCACATTTAAATGCGACTTATTCAGCTTCGTCGTAATCATGGGCACGTTCGATTGAATGATGAAAGCCTCCAAAAGCCATCGCCATCTCTCAAGCTCTCGCTTTGCAACTATCCCGTCTGGTTCCTGCACACGAGCCGATTTCAATTGCTCAATCTCCGCGGTGAATGTACCCTCAGGCACCTTTCGCTCATTTGGCTGTAACTCCATTGTTAGTCTCAACCACCGGCCATCGTTGCTTTATAACAGTGTTCTTCACTCATTTTCAGAGGGGGCCACTTTCACCGATAAGACATTCTCTGTGCGAAGGCCGCCACACATTTGAAACCATTGGGGGTTTGACAGCAGCACGGTGATGATGATGGGTGTTTTCACATTTGTGTATTGTCGGCGGCTGTACATCACGTGCTACACTGAAGGCCGTCAGGGGCCGCTAGTCGCCTGCGGGCCTTGCAATGAACACTTTGTAACAACGTTTTCCTGCCCAATTCCACTTTTATTAACAGTCAATATAACGTCCTTAAGTTGATGTATGGTCTCTAATCCGTGTGCTCCCCTTTCCTGTCTCTGTGTAATTCCAATCGTGTGTATCATATCTCCCTACTTGGCGCATTTGTATCAAACACAAGTTGTGAAGAATCTCAAGGTACTGAACCAGCGGCTCTACGGGTTGTGGGTTCAACTCCCTCGAGCCAGGTGTCTGCAATGGAGCTGATCGTGTAGAAGTCTTGCACCAACACACATGAGCCTGTAGGATGAAACCCTAAGCATAACTGGCAGCAATCTCACGACTCGCTACTACTACAAATCGCTTGGCCTTTGGGGCGTGACCACTTCCTTCGCCAATATTTCTCCCATTGCAGTTTGTCCAAATTAGCCTCTCTGCTTTTTCTGTGCATCGCTGTGTCTTTCAACCGAGCGAGCTTCCATCCCGTCCAGTGATCGATGTTTGACGTCCAACCCAAACCCTCTTCTTACCCCTTGCACCTTCCAGTGTTCCCTGCGTCACAATCCTCTGCAGCCGGTCACCATACTGGCCACGTGTTCGAAAATCTGTTAGTTTCTTGTACCTGACATTCGAGTTTATATTTATACGTAATTAATGTACGGCGTCATGGGATGCAATTAGCATTACCGACGCTATGCGAAATGAAAGTATTATGTAAGCTTATGTTGAACAGAGGACTCAAGCGACAAGGATATTCTCATTTGAAAGAGTTACCTTGAAAGTTATGACTTGGCAGCCTGAAGTTTTGGGAATTCTCCAGATGGCTTTCATTTCAGAGGCATTAATGCTCTTTCTCAAAAGTTACAAGGAAAAAAAATCCATAATGTTTTTATGGTTATATCGCATAAATATATAAATGTCGTTAAACCCGCCACCACCCGACACAGCCAAATTAGTATTCGTTGCTCGTACAGCACACCGGTTGTGTGTTGGAGAGCCAAGCCACAACATTTACAATCTGAGTACGACGTTTCGCCAGTAATTACAACTAGCTTCATCAGGCGACAGCCAGATTTACGTGACAAACCTTACTAATTGGCTGTGTCGGGTGGTGGCGGGTTTAACGACACATTTACGCGATGTAACCCAAAAAACCCGTATTATGGATGATATTGGTCGCGAAAAAGCCTCCCTGTCAAACTTGAGGGGAAAAAATATATAAAAAAAACATTGCTCCAACATTGTCCAAATTAGCGCTCTGCTCCGTAACTGATTGTGACAGAACATTGGCAGAGTGTTTATAGATTTTTTTAATTTACATTTTTTATTGTCATGAAAGGACCCAGAATTCAAAGTAGATTTCAAAAAGAGTGGAAAAAACTGCAGGTAACCCGTAACAAACTTTACGTAATTCACCCTAAAAATTGGGGATTGATCGAGGGCACATCCGGACTCACCGCCCTACCGCGGTAGGGGTAGCGCGGGAGAGTTAACGATCGGGAGCAGTGTATTTAAGGGGAGAGGGGGGAGGGAAGCCAAACAGAACCAGGAATAAAATAACAAACGCGATGTCCAAGTTTTTCACTCTTGTTTTCTCCCAGGAGCAGCGAATTACCGTGTGTTAACGCGGAGTGGGTGGAGCCTCCAGAGTCCATCATCCCTTCTCCCCAGCCCCCATTCTCGCGGCCAGTCACAGCCATACCGTCTATTTTTTTTTAAAACACTTTTTTTTTAAATGTTTAAAAAGATCTCCACTGATAAGAATTCCTTTCTCCCTCCCGGTTGCCATCAGGACTGGGTGCGTCGGTGGCACCTGGAAACCCCCAATTGGAAGCCATGACCCTGGACATTTTGAGCACATTTCCTGACCTCCACATCTTTCAGAAGGTGCGCTGCCAGTGCTCGTAGCGATGTGCCCCCCCCCCCCCCCGCAGCCTGGTTTTGCTCTCCGCCAAGTCGGACAGCCGTTGTCGTATAACGCGCCAAATTTTTTCCTTCCACAGATATCGTCAACGATGGTGTTCTGGTGCGGAGTGACCCCCCTGTTTTTTTAATTGCATTCGCACGAGTTCTGTAGGCGTCGCTCACTTCTCCGGGGTATTGGTGGGGGTGGACAGATAGCCCAGATGAATACACGAGTAACCCGTATTAACGTGTGTTGTTTGAGCTCTAGTGACGGAAGCCCGTTCAGGAAATCAGTAATATATTCCCTTCGAGAGAGAATTGTCCACCCGCAGGTCATGAACGCACAGTCTTAGCCAGAAATTTACAAAATATCCCACAGGTGTCTCCCCTGTATAGCCTTAGCAGACTGTTGGGGAAAGTGCTCTCAGCGAGCATCTATGAAGGCCGTGGGTGGCCAGCACCACACCCGACCACCTTGGTCTCCCTAGTGGCAATATTTTACACACCGCACCAGGTACTCATTTGAGGCTGAGTCGATCTAAATGAGACCCAGGAACGGTTCAGATAATTGTCACTGGTGTTGTCCGTGAGTGAGATTTGAACTCGGGACGACAGGTTCGTAGCGCAGCGTGCTAACCACTCCGCCACCGCCCGCCATACTTATGAATATGTTTTCACACATAATGCCGTTTTCATTGATCCATAATTAACCTGATCGCCTCAGATCGCAGAAGCTCAGCAGGGTTGATCCTAGATAGTCAGTGGATGGGTGCTCATGATGCACAACTGGTTGTTATAGGCTGTGGGACTACGTTATTTGCAGCAGGAGGGACAGTGCAGTAACAGTCATTGTTGTAGTCTACTTTTAAGCTCTCACATCTATTTTCACCAAACCACATGGACCAGCATGGTGAAGTATGCTCAGGTAACCCCCTCGAGCCACCACACATGGCGTGGCAAGGCCCTCATCCAGCAGTGGATTGACAAAGGAACTGTACATGCACAGTATTGTACAGTTTTTTTTCTCTGCAAATGCGATGCGTGGGCCATTGCCACAAAGTGGGTCACCCCGTGACTTGCTTTCTCTTCCGCTTCCTCCCAGAGACTTCTTGACCTCTCGTTAGTCATGACCATAAGTAAACAACAATTTATCAAGATGAGGCTCTATTGGTTGTAGTAACACAACCGTGTTTAGGTCCATTTAAAAATAAAAACCTGTTTGCCTCTTAAGTTCCACCTCACTGTACTTGAGTCCCATTCATTTCGTGTGATTTGCAGACTTGTGTAAATATTGGAATGTTTGAGCCCCATGCTGCCGAGTTGATTCAGAGGCGGTGTTGATGCCCCCTGGTTTCTTTGCTCTGCCCCCCCCACCACCTCACTTGTTGAGCCAGGGAGGACCCTACCATGACTCTCTGCGGAATGTTCTGGGTGCATACGCCACATACAGACCGGACGTCGGCTACGTAGGCCCCCCCCCCCCGCACGGACACTCTCGCACGCCGCCCAGCGGACATCCTGCTTTAGTACAAATTAGGGTTGTCGATTTTACTAAATTCAGCCTTAATATATCATACAGGTTTTTTTGGGTTAGATCGCGTAAATATGTAAATGTGTCCTTAAACCCGCCACCGCTCGATACAGCCAGTTAGTAAGGTTTGTCACGTAAACAGAACGTGCCAATTCGTCACTAGTACAGCACACCGGTGTGTTGGAGAACAAAGCCACAACATTTACAATCTGAGTACAACGTTTCACCAGTAATTGCAACTAGCTTCATCAGGCGACAGCCAGATTTGTGGAGAAATCCTGTTTTGTTCCATAAATAGAGGGGCAGATGTGATGACATGTGAGCACTTTTTGAGTGAAGAGAGGGGTTATTAATGAATGTATATTAATTACAATGGTTATCCATTGCCGGTTGGGTTATTTATATGGTAATCAACCTACATTACGCATGCACATTATGCAAGTCTATTTTGGACCTACTGTCGAATCTGTGCACTAAAATAGCAGTACCTATTATTGTCTGTTCAACGGTAATCCCCATTGAAGTATGGTGACCTGCATAGGCATGCATTTAAACGATGTATTATTTGAGGATTCGCTTCCAAGCAGCATTAAGTCTGTAGCTATCTGAACATTTAAAATTATTTTTAGCCGTTCAACCTGGCGCAGAGGTCAGCAAACCTGCGGCTCTTTAACGACCGCTTCGGGGGAGCTTTGTCTTTTATATGGGTGACAGAGTGGGGAGCACAGGTGGTTCAACTGTCGGGCATCTCAGGTAACCCATAACTCCTGCGTCTGCCCTGTCACCTGCCAGCGAGCATTCGGCACTTCACTTTGTAGCCTCGGTGCACCTAGCCTGGCACAAACGCTGTGGTGATGTCACCGTCACGTAGTGGCGAACGGAAACAGCTGCGCGTGTGTGGCCCAGTGCCGGATTATCCTAGTAGCAAAAGTAGCATATGCTACGGGCCCCGCACTTAGCTCAATTCCAGTTCAGTGATCCTGCACTTGCACTATTACTATAGTACTATACTGCCTTCAACTTTATGAATGACTGTGTGTTTAAGGTTAGCGATATGTCGTATTATCTGGCTGTATAGCAAGTTAAAAATTAGTGTTTTAATATTTGTTATTTTTTTTTATTTTGGGCCGCTTTATAATGTACGCTACAGGCCCCCGCACTAGCTTAATCCGGCACTGGTGTGGCCGCGTCTTGTCAGGCCCCGATGACGTCGTGGCTGGCGGCCATGCTGCTGCTGTACATGGATGCAGTGGAGGCGTTTGTGGTGCTCGCCAATATCCTCAACCAGCCCTGCATGCTGGCCTTCGCGCTGCCTCGCCCGAACCAGGTGCGCAGCACAGCGGCTCCTTCGAGTGGAGGAGGAAGGCCCTTCGTCCAACGGTGACGTGACCAAATCGGCATGGTTGGCTACGTACGGCGCGAAAGAAGTCCAACATTCATAACAGTCATTATCATCGCAATCCATGGGGCAGATAGCTCATAGGTGTCCACCGCACATTTCGCCATTTGCTTCCACTTTCCTCTGTCGTGTGCCAATAAGGTCAAGTAGTGGCCACGTCTTTCTGGCACCAATCTCTTATGTCGCCGTCAAGACTATCTCTGCGAGGTCTTCCGCTTTTTTCCCCGTTCCGTCCATTTTTACCGAACGACACACTTAATATGTTCCTATTATCCATCCTCCAAAGGCGGATGCACCTTTTACCTTTTGTCTACCCGCAGGTGAAAAGGTATCTTGCCACCTTCGATGTATTTTTTGAAGAAAACCTTCCAGGTTTGTTTGCGCATTTCAAGAAAATTGGTCTACTCCCGGACGTTTACCTCGGCGACTGGTGAGCCATCATCTTCCCTTTTTACACTCATCACATTTAGCAACATGCATTGAGATTACTTCGATTATTTTGCTGCGATTAAATTTCCACGTGATAGAAGCCTTCTTTTTGTTGAGCTATCATTTGTGGCCAGGTCGCTTTTGAAAAATAAGTTAATACCTCAGTGGGCTTTACCTGATAAGATAAAACATTTTTTAGTTTTATTTTGTATATTTTTGAGTGATTTGTTTGCCTTTCCTTTCCTTTTGCACTCCTATCGTGTGTTTTTTATTGTTTGCTGTTGTAACCTACTGACCCGCACATACTGGACATCTGTGAAAAAAGAGCTTCATAGCTCATCTGATTCCTCCTGCAGTTGAACTCAAGATTATCATTCTGACGTGACAATTGGCTATATAGTCACTTACTGCCTGACCTTAGCGGGGTGGGAAATGTACAATGCCCCTCGCCAGCATTTATTAACCAAGAGCGGACGAAAATGTTGGACTGTTTCAGTTACGGCTGAGATAATTACTAAGTGGAATCTACAAGGACTCGACTAAAATGCACAGTTTTTTGTCGACTAGATCACGAATATAAGAATACAAATTTAAAGAATGCCGATTAAATTCACAATGCTCAGAATCTAGCCTCTAAAACTAAACTGTACTATCCTATGGTTCTTTCGGTAAAGTCACGTAGATAGAAGAAAAAATAATAACAATTAAATAAGAAAAATTAAAATAAAGTGAATAAAAAATAATAAAAAACATTAGCTATCCCGCCCATCTCTAAGCCTTTATAAACAGCCTTCCTCAGCAGCTTTCCCCTATTTTTTCTCCTGATGGCGATTGCTTGTGTTGCGATCGAAACGTCGTGATATTTTTATTCTTTTTTTATTCACTTCATTTTTATTCTTTTGTTATTTTTTTATATCTACGTGACTTTACCGAAACAACCATATAATATGAATTCCTGCAGTCACGAAAGTTTTAAGTCCAAATTTTAACTATACTAAACATTTTTTGTTATCTCACCAAGTAAGGCCCACTGAGCTATATAGCTCATTTTCAGAAGCGACCTGGCTGTCACAAATGATAGCTCAACGAAGTGGCTTATCATCGCGTGGAAATGTAGAGCAGCCAAATACTCTGAACGTGTGTTGATTCTAAATGTGGAGGGAAAAATCGGAGAAAGCAGAGAGTTATCCACGCGACCATGGGGAGAACGTGCAAACTCCTGCATACCAAGCGAGGGAGTTAACATCACGCCACCATGCGTTTGACCGTGACGTCTGCCAGGACAGAGTCTCGTGATTTTGAAAAATGTATCCATCCGGAGTCGCATCTTATGAACCGAGTGCTGAAAACGTGCTTGTGCTGCTTCCTCTTAGCTCTAGGGTGCAGTATAATGCCTTCAACACTAGGGAGTGAGTCACTTGGCTGGAACGATGTCCGTGTTGGTGTGGCGGCAGGGTGCTCGTCCTGCTGGCGCACGTGCTTCCACTGGAGTGCGCGTGCCGCGCACGAGACGTGTGGTTCCGTGACGGCGAGGAGTTTGCGTTCCGCGCCGCGCTGGGCAGGCTGTCGCTGCTCGCCGACTCCCTGCTGACCCTCGACAAGGAGGGCGCGGCGGCACTCCTGCTCGCGAGGTCGTCTCCCGCTGCCTCGTCCTCCGTTGCCGCCGCTCCCTTTCCAATTCCGGCGACGCAGGAAGAGGCGCTGTTCTCCGCCATCGCCGGCGTCCGCATGGTCAGCCGCCGGCGATCGTGGGCTCAGGTCCTCGCCCTTCAGGGCAGCGGGTGGGGGGGGGAACCCGTGTGACTCGTGACTTTGTGCAGCCTGGGACTTCAATCACACTGCCGTCAACTTTGTCATACAGCCTATGGGCCACATGAGGCCCACAACTTGACTTATCACAGCCTGTGACTTAATTTCATGCGGCTGGTGACCTTCATTTTAGACAACCCGTGACTATCTTTTCAGGAGCTTACGCCTCAATTTCATATGGCCTACGGCCTGGCAGATGTCCTATCGCTTCTAAATGGCCTGCAAATGATATTCATCCATATTCTATGGTTCTTTCGGTAAAGTCAAGTAGATAGAAAAAAAATACAATAGAATAAAAAAATAAAGTTAATAAAAATATCACGACGTTTCGATCGCAGCACAAGCGGCCGCCATCAGGCGCCCATACTTCCGTTGCTGTTGATGCACTTGGGCTGCGCCCACCCCCAAAACTTTATAAACAGCTTGCCTTGAGAAGCTGACTCCTTTGCCTGATGACGACCGCTTGTGTTGCGATCGAAACGTCGTGATATTTTTTATTAACTTTATTTTAATTTTATTGTTATTTTTTCTATCTACGTGACTTTACCGAAAGAACCATAGAATATGAATTCCTGCAGTCACGAAAGTTTTAAATCTATATTTATCCATCCGCGTAAATTAACATGACTGCAACTTTTTGCGTAATTGTGTTAAGGCAGGATTTTTAAAAAAATGTATTCTCTGTGAATTTGTTCAATAAAGACCAAGTAATATCTGTTACTTTCTGCAGAACTCATATTTTGAAAAAGTTGAATTTACTGCCCTCTGTCAATTCACCACTGGATAACCCCCCCGCCAGCCTGCTGTATTGGTCATGGGGGTTGTTTGACCATACTTCACCACACTGGTCAATGCCGATTGGTGATGATGGAGGATCGAGTGGGTTCACATCGGGCTGGAGAGTAATATTTTCTACTTGAAACCTGGGTGTGCAGTCAGGCTATGCACATCGTGACCTGAGTTTTATTTTCATTTTATTTCCTGGCCATGGCTAACATCAGTTGTGAGTGATATCTGAACCAGTTCTCTGGGACCTCCAACCACGTTTAAGGTGAAGTATGGTCAAACATCCCACACATCCGAACCTGCATACAGCAAATTGATTGGTAAAGGGCTCTAAACATGGAACCCCGATCGTACGAGAGAGCGTTGCATTATGATTCATCGTGGAAATATGTGCAAGTCATTGGGTGGCCAGGTCTCGCAAGTACGTAGCGACTTCCAGATTTTGCTGGATGTTCTCTTGATAGTCTGGAAATTTCTATATTTTCTGCATATTTAATATACTTTATTTAATACGCAAGCTAATTTAAAACGCTTGCTAAAAATAAAATCTGCGTATTGTTGTGCAGTTTAACATTCAACATGGTCATTTTACCTTAACATTCACCCCGTTTTAGTCACACCACTCCGACCGTCAATTTTTGGATCGCTCATCTACTTTAATAAAATACCTCGTGCCTCCTTCCCATATTCGTCTGAGTATGAAAACAAATTAACGGTTCAGTATTATTTTTTTGACACAACCCCTATGAAAAGCACATTGTCAGCACCATTTGATTCAGTACGAGCAAACTCTGGACTGTTGTCGACATACGGCGTCTCGTCAGCAGTTGGGCTTACTTTGAACCAATGCTGGTGAACTGCCCGATTTGTACATGGTGGTCCAGATGTATTGTGACCTCCCCTCCCTCCCCCATTCAATTCTCTAAAACGTAATATTTTTAAAGGTTTATTTAAAAAAATGTTTTTATACACAATTGAAAACAATGTTAGGGATTAATTAATTGTGGGATCACGACATCGGTACCACCCTGTATGTAGCGACGCACCCTCCAAAACACGAGTCTTAGATTGATGCATGACTGAATTATACAGAACACGAAATAATTACCTACTAAATTGCATAAAATACATAACTACCACTTTATACAGCCAGGTAGTTGTGGTGTTCTGAACTATTTGCCAACTGCTTTACATTGCCATAATCTCTCCTCTCCAGACTTTAGGGAAAATTCTGGGTCCATGGGACATATGCAGTTTTGCTAAATTCTGTCAATGACATACCATGTCGACCCATACCGTTTACCCGTATTCTTGTACAGGAAAGTTGAGTTTTCAGTTCCATAGAGTGTGCAGCCGTTTCAATATGGGAAAAACTACATGTTTTGTCAGTATTTTTTCACTGGTGATGGGACTTTGTAGGGTGAACGTTGAGATTTATAAGGGCACGGGTTGACCATTAAGGTCTGAATTGGTCTGTAATAAGGTAGGGCACTGATAAAGGGTTGACAGGTATGTGTGTGGGTGGGTGTGTCATACCTGTCAACCCGTCGACCCATACGGTTTACCCCGTAATCTTGTACAAGGAAATTGAGTTTTCAGGTCCACACGACGTACAGCCGTTTCAGTGCTGGCAACAAAAATGTTTCGTCTGTGTTTTTCCCTTGTGATGGGACCTTTGTAGGGTGAACGTTGAGATTTATAAGGGGCACGGGGGTGACCAACAAGGTATGAGTTGGTCTATATTCTTTGGTTATTTTTTTACCTACGTGACTTTACCGAATAGAACCAAGGAATATGGATCCTATGAGTTGGTCTGTAATAAGGTAGGGCACTGATAAGGGGTTGACAGGTATGAAATGATGATGAAGGCGTCATCGCAAGAGACAAAGCAGAGTAACAACTGCAGTAGTACAGTACTTCATATCTACGTCGTGGACGAGCTCTTGTCTTTGCGGAGGACTAAATCGAAACTTTCCAAACAATTAAATGGGGAAGTAAGGCTTCTGAGCCAGTTATTTTTGTCGATAAGTTGTTTACCACATGCAGTTTTACTGTACCCCTAAACTTGGGAACATAGAAAATGCGACCTTGCCACGAGTTCGTGCGGTTAAAACTAGAAATGTAAAGTATTTTGTAACACAACGGGCAAGTTGTTCAAGACAAACCGGTATACTGCACACGTATGGAAGCGCAGTGTACTGCTGCATGCAAAGACCTTACTATAAAATGGTTAGAACTAAGTTGATAGATAACTATTAAATATGACACATACACTGAAGAGGTATTAATATATGTGGCAGTGATTAACAGGTTGATTTAAACGTTAATGTAGTTTACGTTACAGATTGACGTGTACATGGTAGTCCAGATGTCTTGTGACCGCGATTAATTAAGCCCTAACATCATTTCCTTTGCTTAGTCATTTTGGTTTTCACACCGTCATTGGTATGCAAAAATGTTAAGTTTTAGAGAATTAAATGGGGGTCCCAAGACATCTGAACTACCCTGTATAATGTTTTAAAGTGCCTCTGGCACGTGTGCCGTAAAGAAGGGCCATTGCCCAAAACGTTGCCTATTATATATTTTTTTTATTGCCAAAATGTGAGATTGTTCTCTATATAAAGACTTTAATCTGAATGTCTCAAAATACCTCTAGGGTACTTTGCGACAAGGTAGAAATATGAAATTTGGTGTTTAGGTAGCTTTTAGGACACAAACAACAGGAAAATCTGAAAATCCGAAATGTTTCATTTTAAGGCCCCCAAATCTCGATATTAAGTGCCCCATAAACACGTTTGTGCGTGTCATTCAGAAACCGTTCTAAATATGATCGTGGTTTTTTTGTTTTCTGCTGCTGATGATGCTGTTTGCTGATGATGCTGTTTGCTGCTGATGCTGTTAATGATCATGCTTATGATGTTGCTGCTTCTTGGTTCTTTCGGTAAAGTCACGTAGAATGGAAAAAAAAATGAAACATAACATTGTTTTATTTTTGGAAATAAAATAAAATATAACATTGTTTTAGTTTTATTATTTTATTTCCAGTCTACGTGACTTTACCTAAAGAACCAAGAAGATGATGTTGCTGCTGCTGTTGATGACGATGATGATGCTGATAATTATGATGATGCTGGCGTTGCCGTGACGCGATTTCCCGTAAATTGCGTCACATTTACGGGAAAACGCGTCACGCGCCCTGGTCGTCAGACGTTCGCGGACTCTCGCGATTGGTTGAGGCCGGCGGCGGTTGGCGCCTCGACCAATGGCGACACGCGGCACACTTGAGTGACGGCCGCCCCGCCCCCTCGGCAAGCCCGAGTTGCTTGACCGAGCGAGTTGTTGATCAGACGCGGCCACTCGGCGTTGTTGATCGGTACTTAGTTGTAGCTTTATTTGTAACTTCATTTGAGGCTTTCGTGACTCCACGAATCCATACTCTTTGGTTATTTCGGTAGAGGCACGTAGGTAGAAAAAGTAAAATAAAGCAGAAAATAATATATTACGACGTATCGTTCGTGGCCGCTTGCGTTGCGAACGAAACGTGATAAATAATATTTTTGTTTATTTTATTTTTCTACCTACGTTCCTTTACCGAAATAACCAAAGGAAGTGTAGCTTTGTAATTTAAGGTGTAAAAAAAAAGAATCTGTTAAAGAGTGAGGCGGTAGGGCGAGTTTTATCGTCGTTCCTTTGAATCTATTTCGTCGATTAGGGCCTTTTGCGAGGTTGTTTAATAGTTTTTTTTCTTGCTAGGTGGTTTTTCTTAGCTTTGTGTTTAAAATACGCCTGTGCCGAAATGACGACCGAGATGCTGACCCCGCTATCCAAGAGCAGCTTGCGTGTCCGCCCGAACGGGTAAGGTGGCTTCGTCGAGGGGGGATTTTTGTTCGTTCACCACGGAATCGACTTTTAAACGGGACGACGACGACGAACTCGTTCGTGGTATTTGCTCTCAGAAATGGTGACCGCGTCTCTGTTGTTACCAACACCCCCCTCACCCTCTGTCTCCTGCATCGTTCTTGGGTGTCATCGTTAGGGTGAGGGTTCGCCACGGTGTGGCTTTATGAGAGAGACGCTAACTCACTCGCCTGCTACAACACACACACAAAGTCGTCGTTTCGATCCACACCCTTGACGCCTGCTGTACGTTTAAACAATCCTCGTGTGTAATTTCGATTTAAAGCTTTCGTGACTGCAAGGATTCATCATCTTTTGGTTCTTTCGGTAAAGCCACGTAGAATGAGAATAAAATAATAAAATAAAATTCTCACGACGTTTCGGCCGCTTGTGTTGTGGCCGAAACGTCGTGAGAATTTTATTGTGTTATTTTATTATTTTATTCTCATTCTACGTGACTTTAGCGAAAGAACCAAAGAAGATGAATCCTCGTGTGTTTTTGTGTCTCGTCTCAGCCACGTCGGGTTTTTTCCTCCGGGTAATTTCCCATCCCCCCCTCCGCATTTAGAATCGTCGACACGCACGCGGGGTTTTTTTAATTTAAAGAGTCAATTGGCTGCTATACATTTGCTGCGCGATGATAATGTAAAGCCACTTGGTGTTTGAAGCTATCGTTTTGTGATGGCCAGGTCGCCTCTGCAAAAAAAAGAGCGACGGGACAGCTCTGGTAAAGTGAAATAATAAAAGAGTATTGGCGGATGGGGAGGTAAAAAAATATAACAAATTGGCAGCTTTGCCACGTCAAACACTTCCACGTGGGACGTTCATACGGTTCGCGTAGTTGGTGTGTATTGACAAAGTACGTCAATGTGTCGTATATCTTTTGTTTAATATACATCCCGTATAGAGAAATGCGTCGAATTGTGACAACGTGGCGCAAAGATGGATGACGGGCGGGGGCCTTTGGTGGCTCTGCTCGCCAGCGCCTCGGCGTGGCCGAAACTGCGAAGTGAGGCGGAGGAAGTGGAACTTCCCCATTCTGCTTCCACGTGGGGTCGCAGGGCCCCACGGGCTCCGATCCACTGCTGGCTTGAGACGTCCTTCGTCGCAACGTCGAACCTCCTCTTATCCCCCTTAACGCCGTTGTGAGCGCGCACGCACGCACATCGATGTGCTGTAGCATCCCAAATCTCGCGTCCGCACGCGAAGCTGGTCCCATTCGCGCGCTCCATCTCCGCGGGGCACGTTCCGGTCTGGTGGACGGTGGTCGAAGAATGGCTTTGGAGGGAGCGGAGAGGGATCAATTGATGCCGCCAATGGATGGGGAACGTGTGTCCGAGAGGACATGCGGAGAGATTAAATGTAAATGGGCTCGCGTGCAGGCGCCCGGGTCGTTTTTGGGACGTCCTCGGGTGTCGTGATGGGTGGCGACGGCTTTAAGTGATGTGACCTTCGGCCAGCGGTTGATTAGCCGTGACTTGATTGTTTGCTGATGGGAATCACGTGGTCTTCCGAGTCGCAGCGAGACGCTTGTTATACACGAGCCAGGTGCGTGATTCACATACTAATGGACTGTGATACAACCCTTAGGGTTTTTGTTTGTTATCAAGTAGCTTACAGAAGCACGGCTTGGTAATGAAAATGCCTACATTGGATACTATTTACGGGATGAACAAGAGTAAACCTTTCAAAAACCGTCATGAGTATTTTCAGTTTTAATTACGCCTGGGTGCTTTATTTACTCGTTTTATTTCCCTCCCTATGGGTTAAAGCCATGTCGACCACTTATCTTAAAAATCCATACCACACGGTAATGATACATTTGGGGTTTTTTTGTACAAGTTTCTCGGAAATGTCATGGCCGTGAATGTGCAGAATATAATACGTACGTGAGTCATGGAAGCCACAGTGGAATTAACACGAACCGCAAGTTCCCCTTGAATGTTCCATTGGATTAATAAAGCCACGGCTCTTGTGTCATTGTGCAATGCGTGTTTCTCTCCCATAGGAGCTTCAAACTCAGTCGGGTTAGCCAGAGACGCATCACTTACGTGTACATATGGCACTTAAATTGTGTGAACTCGTTGACCATCTCAAATATCTGGACGTTGTCCTAGGTTCCAAAATCAATTTTCCATGCTCACAAAAGAACAATTCGAAGAAAAAAATTGGTCTTTTGTATAAATTCATTAATTGTATTCCCCGCTGTCTCACTAGTGGATAGTGTCCCTCCACGTTTAGAAACGTGCGCGTACAGTGAGGGAAAAAAAGTATTTGATCCCCTGCTGATTTTGTACTTTTGCCCACTGACAAAGAAATGATCAGTCTATAATTTTAATGGTAGGTTTATTTGAACAGTGAGATAACAAAAAAATCAAGAAAAACGCATGTCAAAAATGGTATACATTGATTTGCATTTGAATGAGGGAAATAAGTATTTGACCCCCTCTCAATCAGAGATTTCTGGCTCCCAGGTGTCTTATACAGGTAACGAGCTGAGATTAGTAGCACACTCTTAAAGGGAGTGCTCCTAATCTCAGCAAAAAAGGAGTGGCTCAAGAAGAAGCACATTAAGGTCCTGGAGTGGCCTAGCCAGTCTCCAGACCTTAATCCCATAGAAAATCTGTGGTAGGAGCTTAAGGTTCGAGTTGCCAAACGTCAGCCTCGAAACCTTAATGACTTGGAGAAGATCTGCAAAGAGGAGTGGGACAAAATCCCTCCTGAGATGTGTGCAAACCTGGTGGCCAACTACAAGAAACGTCTGACCTCTGTCATTGCCAACAAGTATCAAGTCATGTTTTGCAGAGGGGTCAAATACTTATTTCCCTTATTAAAATGCACATCAATATATAACATTTTTGACTTGCGTTTTTCTGGATTTTTTTTGTTATTCCATCTCACTGTTCAAATAAACCTACCATTAAAATTATAGACTGATCATTTATTTGTCAGTGGGCAAACCTACAAAATCAGCAGGGAATCAAATACTTTTTTCCCTCACTGTGCTTTGTGCACTACTGCCAATGCACAGTGCTGGATTATCCTCGTAGCTACATATGCTACGGGCCCCGCACTTTCAAGGGTCTCGTGCTAAATGCTTTAAAGCTATCAATTCCGGTTCAGTGATTCTGCACTTGCTCTATTACTATAGTATACCGCCTTCAAATTTTATGAACGACTGGGTGTTTAAGGTTAGAGATTTGTCGCTGTATAACAATGGCTGTCGCCTGATGAAGCTAGTTGTAATTACTGGCGAAACGTCGTACTCAGATTGTTAATGTTGTGGATCAAATACTTTTTTCCCTCACTAAGAGAATTTGGTTGCCCTACATTTCCACATAAGCCACTTTATTGAGCTGTCATTTGTGACGGCTATATAGGAGCTCGGTGGGCCTTATATGGTTAAAATTAAAAAGTATAATTAACCACTGTGATCGTTAAACGTAAACCTGACTCTCCTTGGTACTCAGGAAATTGCGTAATTGGTCATCGTTCAACCTCAAGCTACTCCCAAAACAAATCGAACATTTTCGCCTTTCAGAAGAAGCTCCTCGCCATTTCCGCTTTAACGCGCCCAGAGTGATATTTAGCCATAGTGAAACATTTCGTTTTGGAACCACCTCGCTTTCATGGTTTTCGGCTTAACATCTCTCCCTTTCCTGGCTTTTTAAAATGCTTCCTTCATTTAAGATGTCCCTTGGCGCATGCAGTCGGTGAATCCCTGCGTTATGTAATGTGTTTCTGTGTTGCCTGCCAGTGTTACTTGAATGGTGCATGGCTTGAATTTCCCCCCCTCCACGAATGCGTTTGCTACTCAGTGTCTACAATGCTAAAGATGTATTCGCTGCGGTTTATTTTCACCAAGGCCCTCCTCGGATCAATCTTGCTGAGTGTTTCTTACCTGCGGAAACAAATTCAATAACTCAACTAAAACACAAGAGCCGCCTCTGTTTTGTGTCTGTGGTCACATTTGTAAATAAATTACACATGTCTAATTGAGCCCGAGTGAGAAATGGAAGGGTCATGGTATTGGGTGGTCCACTGCGAGCTGTAGGGATGTAAGCCTGTACAAGAGAACTTAGTGTTTACTTAAATTATTAACAAATTTATTAATAATTGCCGTTTGCCATGAAGTCACAGAATAGGGGTGGCTCATTGCCACACCCAACCGTAATGTTGAGTGATTCACCATTACATTACACAATATATGCTTAGCTCTTTTGGTAAAGTCACGTTGAAGGCAAACAATAAAATAATAAAATATATATAACAATAACAATTCTCATGACGTTTCTACCATAACACAAACGGTGGTCATCAGGTGTGAGAATTTTTATTGTTATATATTTTATTATTTTATTGTTTCCCTTCAACGTGACTACCGAAAGAGCTAAGAATATGAATTACTGCAGTCACGAAAGCCTTAAATCAAAATTACACAATATGTTTGTGAAAATCTCAAATATTATTTTTTCATTTCCTTAAGCATTTTCGGTAACCCCCCCCCCGCCTTCAAATGTTTACATTTGAACTACGGCTGCCTCATTTCCGCAAGATAGGTTTATTGTCACCGTACTGTACAACTGGTGTGGCCAAATCTGGCTGGCAAAGGCTGTGTGGTTGGACTGCCGAGTGCGCCGAGACATATATGACATTGTGACAAAGGGCTTCATAGCTCATCGGATTCCTCCAGCCTAAATACATATTCTGATATATTTAGAAATGTTAGATGTTTGGACAAGGGAAAGAAATGAGATGGAGCAGTCGACACGAGATATAATAGTGAGATGAAAGATGAGTGGCACAGAGTCGTACATACTAGTGGTCACATCCGCATCATGCAAACACGCGCCCACCACAACGCCAGTTTTATTGTGGCCCATCAGAAAAATTGCAATTGAACGAAACCTGCTGCACATCTCGTACAATGTGCGTGCCTTTCCGTGTTTCCCGATGCAGGAATAATTTGAAAACATCCAAGAAAGATAAAAAGGTGAACGGGACCAACAAGGACGAGATCAAGGAGGACTTCATTGCTTTGAAGGTTTCGAGAGACTTCAAGACGGAGCTGCGGAAGGTGGTGAAGAAACATAATAACAAGATGCTCCGCCTAAAAAACTGTCCCAACTTCCCATTCACGGTGTGCGGCCAAGAGGGAACCAACTACAGGTGAACACAGCGTAGCGGTGTCTTAGTGTGCATGTCGAGGACCATCAGTGGGGCTGATGGGACTGCGTGAATGGACGCTCTTTGGCAGAATCGAATTCAAGTGTGGGCTCGGTGTACGAGGTGTCCACTAAACCCTTTGAAGTTTGCTGTTCGTGCAGATTGTCGGTGTAAACATGTAAACATGCTTTGTAATTTTGATTTAAAGCTTTCGTGACTGCAGTAATTCATATTCTTAGCTCTTTCGGTAAAGTCACATTGAAGGGAAACAATAAAATAATAAAATATATATAAAACAATAAAAATTCTCACGACGTTTCGACCATAACAAACGGTCGTCATCAGTTGTGTCAGTTTGTAAACCGACACACCTGATGACGACCGTTTGTGTTATGGTCGAAACGTGAGAATTTTTTTATATATATATTTTATTGTTTCCCTTCAACGTGACTTTACCGAAAGAGCTAAGAATATGCTTTGTAATTGTTACCATTGGTGTAAAATTAGGGTTGATGCCACACTCCTGCAAGATGTACATGCAAAGGCCTCCATCAATCCACTGCTGGATGAGGGCCGCCCCACACTATAGAGGTCGTGGACTTTATTTTATTATCATACTTTACGACACTGGTCAGTGTAGGCTGGTCACAATGACTGCATAGAAAAACGACCTTGTTGGTTCTTAGTGCTTGCATTCTGGTAAGACAGAGCCATGAAAGATGCTGGAAAAACTTGGTTGATAATTTCATCGCAATTCACTTGCTCATTCTTGCATCCCGGAATGGACACGGCATAAAAGAGCTGCTTGGTGTGTTTCCTACGCAGGAATATGACTTCGATGATGGACGCCTGGAACAGCCTGTTTCTGGACAAGGAGCAGGACATGACGGTGATCGGCTGCTTGGACAACGTGCCATCGTTGGCATTGGGTCTGCAGTGGGTCGTGCTGGTGACGGAGGACGGTGCCGTGTACGGCTACGAGAATGAGTGCATGTGCAGGTTGGCGAGTAGTGTTAGGGACCTCTTCCTGGAGGGCCCTCGGTTTGGTGGGAAAATGTACGAAATGGACTTGAGTGACATCCCACAGGTGAGAACTATGAGGCTGTACTGTCGTTATTCTCTGGGCCAATTATTGATTTCCAGTTAACTTTGGTCACTACACCATCAAAAGGTTGCTTCTTTGAATTGTCAATTCCATGATCACATTTCCCCAATTTGTAAGTTAAAGGAGTCCTATGTTAACCTAATGGTTTAATACAACTATGTGTTTTAAGCCAGGGTGATCTATTATGGAGGAAAAACAGATTTTTCCACCTTAATGATATAGCCTGTAAAAATGCTATTGTATTTGCAAGGATGTCACTGTTATTACAACTTGTATTTGATTTGTTTTATGTCAATTTGTGCTGTAAATTCTGTTTTAATACAGGATTCTAAGGAGTTTGATAAAGCTTGCCAAGACTTGGGCATTCAATCAAGAGATCCTGAGGTTGAGAAATACATGACAAGTTTAGAAAGTACATTTGGTGAAATGGAAGATTTCTTTGCGTCATTGTGAATCTGATTGAAACGACGTTCTATGCTTCTGACTGACTGTAACCATGAGAAGATAGACACAGCCATCGCATCTGTTTTCTGTCACCATGCAATAAGCAGAATTTCAGCCATCTCCGAATAGATACAACTCGTGGAAACGTGTCGAAGTTAAAACAAAGTCTGCCGAACGTCGCTGCCTGTCAAAACAAACATTGCGACGTGTTTATCACCGATCGTCGGCAAGCTGCAACACGACCTTGCGTGGAAGAGACGCCTGCATTTAACCTCAATAATATGCTCTTTATTCAGGATTGCGTTCGTCACGATTTGATGCACTTTTCAACACAACATATTTGGCCATACTTTTTGTGTCGGAGGAAAATGGGACGAAACTATCCATGGTCGACCTATACAGTCTTTAATGTGGATAATTTTAGTTTTTGCTCACGTTTGCACATTCTCCAGTTTACTGGGCTTTCTTGTAACCGCTGGTTGTAAAATATCTACTTGGCCATGGACCTTACCATCTGAAATAAAGTCTGACTGTCCTTAATATCTTTATATAGTTTTGAATATGCGGTGCTCAACCAGAATTAATGCGCCTTTGGAAAAACGCCTGTTCCTTCGCGCTAATTCTGGCGAGTGTTTTTTTTGGGGTCTTCTCACCCATGGGGTTTTACCCCGTTCTGATTTTTCTCCGACACATTACGGCCAATTGCATTGTGTCCTTGTTTGACCTGTGGGCTGGTGGGCTGGTGGCCAGGTGCGCACGAGGTGGCTCGCGTGCTCAACAAAAGAAAAAATGGATTAGCATTTTGACTGCTCACAGCGCGGGGCCAGAGGGTGATGGGCAATGGGGGGGGCCCATGCCCTTTGTTGGAGGAAATTGGTGAGTGGATGTCACCCAGAGCAGGTGTTTACAGTGTTGATGGGCTGTGTTATTTTGTTGCACTAACCAGAGGGAGACATTGAAGACCAGTATCCCCGTGCTGTCGAGATAAAATCGAGCAATATGCCTGAATTATACTCTGGGGAAAAAAATAATCGAATACTGTGACAGGTGCTTTGAGACTAGGGCTCTGTTAGAGGTGATTAAAATAAAATTTCTTTACTTTGGCTTTTCATGACCAATAGCATTCACAACTGGGTTTTTTGGGTTGAGTCGTGTAAAAAGTGTTGTAAACCTTCCACCCGAGACGGCCAGTCCGTGAGTGTCAAGTGAACAAGCATGACGCTTTTAATAAGTCATTTTCATTTAATACAAGCATGACGCTTTTAATAAGTCATTTTCATTTAATAAAAGTGGTGCAGTGAAGCACGTGATGCTTTTATGAAACTTGGCAAATGAAACGTGCTGAAGCAGTAATGCGCTTTGCACGTGTGTTCACTTGACACTTAGTAATTGGCTGTGTACCGTTGAGTCTACGCCAGGTTTTTACTTACGATCTAACCCAAAAACCAAATTGTGAAACGTAATAAAAGTTATCTGAATGCATTTAGTGGATGCTTTTTCTTTTGTATACACTGTACATAGTCATTGTTAGTGTTATATGAATATTACATCCATGTGTACAGGAAATGACTTCATTTTTATTTTGCAGATGAATAAAATTTGCAAAAATGTCGTGTGCAGGGGAATTTTCTGTCGAGCGTTAGAACTGGTGTTGACCAGTCCATCCCAATAGGTAGCTTGGCATGGTTCACGGAACCCTTTTTGAAGTCGAAATGTGTTCCCTACCTCTCTTTATTTTGTAGCCTAAGTGCTGGGCATTCAAGAGGTTTTACGATAGAACCTATACATCTTAATCCGTAAAAAATATATCTTTACAAATGGACACGAGCATAAACTTAAGAAAAATTAAAAGTGGATTTTTTAATCCTAATATTTGAATGCCGAACTTCTGAATATCTGTCGTGAAGCTTTTAATTGGACAAAATCGTCCTGTCTGCGTCATAGCAGGGCATCGCTCTCTGCCTTGTGTTGGAGAACTGGACCCGGTTGATGTGTCGCCGAGATACATGCGTGCCCTTTATTCAGTAAGGTGATAAAACCCATTGAGCTGACTTCCAGGAGATGTTAACTACCTTGCCATGTACACAGGAGGTGGGTTCAATCCCGACCCTGACGCCTGTATATTTGGAGTTTGTGTCTTACCGTGGTCGCGTGGATTTTCCTCTGGTTTTTCCCTCCACTTTATAAACATGCGTTTATAGTATTTGGCTGCTCGAAATTTCCACATGTTAAGCCACTGCGTTGAGATATATCATTTGTGGCCAGGTCACTTCTGAAAAAGCTATATAGATCAGTGGTCTTTTCCAGGTAAAATAAAAACATGTTTATAGACATTGGTGTAGTTGACAAATTTAAATGTTTTTTTGTTTCCTACCCCAAGTTTAACACGTAGGCTTTCGCGACCAATATTATTCATAATAAAGGTTTTTGGGTTAGATCGCGTTTATTTATAAATGTGTCGTAACCCTCCACCACCCGACACGGCCAATCAGCAAAAAAAAGTGTCACGTTGACAAAAGACAAATAATTCACTACTTCAGCCCACCGGTGTGTTGAAGAGTTAATCCACATTTACAGTTTGAGTACGACGTTTCGCTGGTAAATACTTCCAGCATCATCGGGCAATTCGCCAGAATGGTAAAGCCCTCGCTTGCTCCCGGTTTTATATAGAGCAGCAGGGTGACGTCATCACTTAACTCATCAGGTGCAGTGATTAGAGGCGGAGGGGGGGGTAATGTAATTATATAATCGATTAGTAATCAGTCATTGGTTATGATTAGTAATGAGTTGTAGATTAGTAATTCTTTAAATCAAAATGTAATGTGTATTATTTAATAATACGCTTCCAGGCCGCACTAAGCCGGTAGCTGTCAGAGCGATTAAAGTTATTCTTGTTCCTCTCAATTTCAATGGATTCTCTAATTAGTCTTTGCCAGTAATAATTAGTTTTACACACCACTGCAACATTGTCAAAATCAATTGAGTGTCCTTGTTGACAAGCATGTTCTGCCACTGCCGACAGTTGTGTTTGAGATAATTTAATATTTCTCTGATGTTCTTTTAGTCTTACGCTGATGTTACGTCCCGTCTGCCCAATGTAGCAGCTGCCACATGAACAATTAATCCGATATACACCTTCTGTTGATAGTTTAGGTAATGCGTCTTTAGTGCAAGATACTAGTTTTTGAATTTTGTGTACTGTACCAAATCTTACTGTAATGTTTTGCTTTTGCAAAACGCGGGCTAGTTTGTCAGTTACTCCTGAGATATATGGAATTTTTATTGTTTTAACAATCTGGTCGCTTTCAATAGTATTGCTTTGCGATCGTGATTTGGCATTCAGTGCTCTGTTAATTTGAGCATTATTGTAGCCATTCTGTCGTAGTGCGTCTTTAACGTGTTTAATCCCTCTCACTAGACTCTCACCATCTGACACTGTTTTTGCCCGATGTACGAGCGTCTTGATAAGAGAGGATTTTTGAGCTGGATGATGATGTGATTCTGCATTCAGATAGGCATCAGTGTGCGTTTGCTTTCTGTAAACGCTGTGTTATTTTACCGTTTAGGCCATGTCCAAGCAAAATATCTAGGAATGGGAGTGTGTTATTCACCTCCATTTCCATGGTGAACTGGATGGCCGGGTTTTGTGCATTGAGATGATTTAGAAAATCATTAAGTGTATCTTTACCATGTGGCCAGACAACCAAAGTGTCATCCACATACCTAAACCAAAAGGATGGTTTTAATGTGCTCGAGGCAAGTGCTCTTATTTCAAAGTTTTCCATGTACAAATTTGCTATAGCAGGGGATAAAGGAGAACCCATTGCTGCTCCTTCCTTTTGTTTAAAGAAATCCCCTCTCCATAAGAAGTAAGTGTTATTTAAACAATGGCCAGCAAGTTTCGGAATATCTTTTTGTAAACCGGTATTCTTTACTAGTGTATCAAGTAATTTAAGCGATTCGTCCACTGAACAGAAAGCAAACGCACACTGATGCCTATCTGAATGCAGAATCACATCATCATCCAGCTCAAAAATCCTCTCTTATCAAGACGCTCGTACATCGGGCAAAAACAGTGTCAGATGGTGAGAGTCTAGTGAGAGAGATTAAACACGTTAAAGACGCACTACAACAGAATGGCTACAATAATGCTCAAATTAACAGAGCACTGAATGCCAAATCACGATCGCAAAGCAATACTATTGAAAGCGACCAGATTGTTAAAACAATAAAAATTCCATATATCTCAGGAGTAACTGACAAACTAGCCCGCGTTTTGCAAAAGCAAAACATTACAGTAAGATTTGGTACAGTACACAAAATTCAAAAACTAGTATCTTGCACTAAAGACGCATTACCTAAACTATCAACAGAAGGTGTATATCGGATTAATTGTTCATGTGGCAGCTGCTACATTGGGCAGACGGGACGTAACATCAGCGTAAGACTAAAAGAACATCAGAGAAATATTAAATTATCTCAAACACAACTGTCGGCAGTGGCAGAACATGCTTGTCAACAAGGACACTCAATTGATTTTGACAATGTTGCAGTGGTGTGTAAAACTAATTATTACTGGCAAAGACTAATTAGAGAATCCATTGAAATTGAGAGGAACAAGAATAACTTTAATCGCTCTGACAGCTACCGGCTTAGTGCGGCCTGGAAGCGTATTATTAAATAATACACATTACATTTTGATTTAAAGAATTACTAATCTACAACTCATTACTAATCATAACCAATGACTGATTACTAATCGATTATATAATTACATTACCCCCCCCTCCGCCTCTAATCACTGCACCTGATGAGTTAAGTGATGACGTCACCCTGCTGCTCTATATAAAACCGGGAGCAAGCGAGGGCTTTACCATTCTGGCGAATTGCCCGATGATGCTGGAAGTATTTACCAGCGAAACGTCGTACTCAAACTGTAAATGTGGATTAACTCTTCAACACACCGGTGGGCTGAAGTAGTGAATTATTTGTCTTTTGTCAACGTGACACTTTTTTTTGCTGATTGGCCGTGTCGGGTGGTGGAGGGTTACGACACATTTATAAATAAACGCGATCTAACCCAAAAACCTTTATTATGAATTCCTACCCCAAGTTTACCCTCGTGATATGAGCGTCACATTCATGAGACAAAAATAGCCATTTGAGTCTGACAGCTTTGCAACCGTGTATGGAGAACGGCCAGTAGAAGCGGATATCATAGAACTACCTCAGAAATCCCTTTTGAGTGGCCTCTACACAATAGGGGGCAGCACTTGATGGTCAATCTTTTATGAATACAAAACATGATTGCACTCCTATTGTTTTTTGTTTTGTATTTTAACGTTTATTACCCGCCCCTACTGGACATTGACAAACGGAGTGGTGGGAGCCAATGAGCAAGGTGGGAGGAGAGCCTCGTTTGCCTGCCTCGCCAAAATGTCAGTAAGTGAAGTTGGCACGAACAATGTAATAAAGGCCTGCTGTGTTAGTCTGATAAATGTTCAATTCCAAAACAACATGACGCAGCATTCAAACATTTCCCGAAACCCACGCATATTGTCAACAACTTGAGATGTTGCATATAGATTTATTTAATTCTTCATACATTCATAACCAAAACTCCCACATTCAACCAGATCTCTGAAGCTTGGAATTGAGCCTGGATAGTACTTGGGTGAGTGACCACCACCGTACAGGTGTGTGGGCGTTGTGGGAAGCAGAGGGCACTGCAGCAACATCCACTCTATCCACCAAACACGCAGTGACCAGCATGGTGAAGTATGGTCAGATAACCCTCTGCCCGCGAGGCGTGGGGGTGGGGGCGTCTGCAGTGATAGTCATTAAGTCCGGCCAATGTTTCTCGGGATAGGATTCGTATTTATGAGCGTCTCCAGATTCCAAGTTGCTCAATGCTGCTCTCTTGTGGTTCGAATCTGCAATAGCGGGGTCGTTCATTGTACGATTACAGTGCAGTGTTATACACACGATTTGGTGATTTTGCTGCATTGGCATTAAGCTAGTGTGGGGCCTGTAGCATATGTTACAAAGGGACCCTAAATAAAATCACGTAAATATTAAAACAACGTATTAACTTGTGTAGTAAAGTAATTGTTTAACACGTAGGTTTTCGTGACCAATATATAAATAATCGCCCAACTTTATCCGTGATGAACGCTGTACTTTCCGTCGTTTTCATGCAGGGGGGCAGGGACAGACGTTCGATTACGTTGGAATCGATCTGCAGACGGCTGTCTTCTCGCACGGCCAGCAGCTCTATGTCGCCTGATCTCAATCCCGCAATCCCAAACAGGTGAAAGTGCGCATCGAACCGAACCCCCAGCAAGGCCATCTACTTAATTACGAAAGAAAATTCACACGAAATGGCCTTTTTCAGTTAAGTCTTCCAGATGTAAAATGATATAAGCTTTCAATGAAAAAATAAAATATAATTCAAAGATGTTTCATTTTAAAACATCAAAACGGAGCATCGGGTGCTTGCGTGAGTGCGTCGTTCGTGTGCAAGTTTGTTTGTGACTTTCCTGGCCGAAGGCCGTAAATGGTTGTGGGGGGCGCCCCATGCGCTCCCGAACAACCCCTAGTCCATAATAGAG